CAATCTAAAATTAGCGACCACATTTAACTAAATAAAAAAATGAAATTCACATGTAGCTTTTAGTGTTCCAGAATCTAGCTTGCGATCTCTTCTTTCTTGTTATTCTCGAACTTCCACACAATATAACAGTGGTTACGTCTAGTGACTCGTCCTCAGAAACTTCCCATACTTCATGTTTTAGGTCATTGTATCTATTTGTAACAAAAATCACGTCAATGGACATTCACGCTCCCTGCGGTTTGCTTCCTTAATTTACCGCGGTAAGTTCTAACTCCGCTGCCCATTCTTCCACCAGGTTTCCCTTGCAGTTGTCCCCAGACTGTAGATGCCGCATTGATGTGCCCCGCCACTACAACTTCCCGAACCCCATTCTCCCTTATGGTTCTGGCTAGGTTGTCTAGAGTCTCTTCAAACTGAGCCACCGTCGTTTGGTGGGAAATACACGCTGTAAAAGTGCTTTCCTTCTACCTGCACCTACAATTAGCTCTCACCGAGTCCACAATTCAATACTCAAATGCTCCCATTACAACAACATAATGGCGGCTTTCCGTAAAATGATCCCTTTCCCCAACTCGGATGTTAATATAATGTCCCCGGGTAAGGTCTGGCGGTCTGGGTCGCAAGCTCCAGAGCCAGCAGTAAATTGTTCAAAGTTATCTTATTTATTTATGATTTTGAACCATTTCATTACTTCTACATATCATAGGAGAATTTTAGAGTGGCCGTCTGCGTTAATAAGAAGCCATTTTGTATGCGTTCTTAAATCAATAATGAATTTGGGGAAAAATTTAGAGGATTTGTAGTAACGCACGCGGCGAGACCAGCGTGTTAACTTCCAACTTCAAATTATCACCATTACGCATCTGAACTACGGAAATTTTAACCCTACATTTGAAAACAAAGTATGGTGGGGAACTACCACGGAGTTAAGTAATTTGTGCGAAATTCATTAAGGGCGAAACTCGTTGATTTTTAAGCATAAAAGCAGCTTAAAAAATGCGATGCTAACTATTGAATTGAACGCAAGTTCCGCGAGTTTTACAGTAGAATCAATTAATATCTAGAAGAGGAATGAGAGATTATTGTGCAACCAGACGATATAGACGCGTTTTCATCGCATAAATTGCAGTCGTATTTAGTCAAGGACCGGTTAATTAAACACGCCGAGTTATTTTTCGTTCCAAAAAATTCATCTGAGTCGCCGTTTGTGAACAAAAGTGGATGAAACTTGATTGTTGGAATACGTAACTGCGAAATTAGTATAAGTCCTCGCAGTTAAAAAAACATTAACCGATAGGTAGAGTGTAAAACGTCTCATTTTGTAAACAAATTTCCCCTTTGCTGTGAATGAAAATAGTCTTCGCACTCATTTCTTATGGGCGTTAATGACAAACGTTCTTACATGCTTGCAATCCATGCACACAGGGATTAACTGTTCTAAAAATCTACACTCTAGAACTTTTAATTCTGCTGGACGATTTTTTTAGCGTTGGAAGATTGAAGCTTCAAGATTTATGTTCTCCGAATCATTGTAATGAGTCCGTTCCGACCTTATTATTTTATCATTCGCGTCAGATACAAGATTATTCTGTTTACGAGGTACAGAGATAACCATTTCAGTTAAACATCTATAGCAACAGTCGCCATAATTTATGATTAATTAAAATGTTTGTAAAATTAGTTAAAGAAACTGGTACATTCAAGAGAGCTGCAAGTATGTAACCGCAATTCTCCAATTTATTCCAAAGAAGGGAAGTTCCTAGGGAAGTTCTCATTCGACTGAAGCGATGATGACTCACGATAATCTAAACGCGATTATCAAGACCGAGTACATTTGTGAACCTTGATACTATTCATATTTGTAAAGCTACGTGTTAATACCTGCAGGAAAAACGAGCCCCCACAGTTTAGCACCTAATCAACCCAGAGACGAGCAATCCCACGTGAATTAGAAGGAAACGGGTAATTTACACTCGATTCAACAATTCAATCTACTATTTACGCCATTTTGGTCAAATTTAGCAACAGAATGTACATTGAAACCGCCCTACAGCCGATGAATAGCTAAAGCCGGGTGAATTATCGAAGACGAATTGTATTAGAGCAAATAATGTCAACAAAGGTAACCCTTAGGCCGACACAATACATCATGATGTATCAAGATGAAGTGTTGCTACACAATCTTATATCGATTGCAAGGCGGAATTAATAGTGCTTCCATTTTGGTAATTCTGAAGCTTTTAAAGTCGTAAAAGCTTACGATCGCTTACAGAATTTATATCGAGTCGCGCGTTATTGGGAGTAATGGAGAATGTGTATGCAAATTGTCGTGTGAGCGAAAAAAAAAGGGGGATGACTCGGGATATGGAAAATTCTCGTTAAATATCCCAATGCTAAGAAAATGATTGAATTTTAGGATAAGGATGAAAATCTGGAAGAAGAGTGGAAATTTCTATAGCTTGAATATTGAAGCGATGTGGCGCAAACTCAATTTATAAGAATAAGTGCGAACGTCAAAGTAAATTTAACTCGACAAGATGATACCCTTTTCAAATGGGTTCTGTCAGTGCGTAAAGAGATTTTAATTTCGTATCAGACGGTATGTGTAAATCTAAATAGATGCGTTTTTAAACCTTCCCTTTGTAAAAAAACACTTGGGGCCTTTGTAATTATTACTCTCGCCGAAAACTTTGTGAGGAGCTTAATTCGACTACGTCGAAAATTGAGTTTACGAGGAAAGGTGAGTTTCCCTCTACGAGGATATCTCTCGCGAAGTCGTTTCTACTTTATTTCGTCTCTGTTATAATCCTGCAGGAGTTTTAAACCCTACTTCGTCTGCATACAATGTTGCTGAAAATGCCACCCTATTTCACTTGAGGGCCACTATTCACCCCGTCAATTTAGTACAGAACTTTTAATAAACTTTCCCAAACCACCTCATAAGGTATGACCATCTGAAAATAAAGTTGGGATGGATTACAAAGTTTGCTTGTTTTTATTGGATTTGCACTCACGCTCAGGTTTGTTTGCCTTTTAAAAGTTAAGACCCTACATAGGTGCAGTTTGAACTAGGGTACAGCTTAAGATTGTTAAGGGTTCTACTACAATGACAAATTTTTTTCTGATACATTATTTAACCGTCGGATATCTCCAAAACAAATTCTAATAAAATAACATTAAATGAGATTATTCCTTTGAATACCTACTCTCATTTAACATGAATATACAATTTTCAAAAGAATGAAATCAACTAAAGAGATGGGTTCAAATAATAATTATACAAATTCGTTCCCTACAATCAATTTACACCGATATCCTGGCCACTTTAAATAAAAATTTAATGCAATTTCTTAAAGAAATCCGATAATTATTTTTGTACAAATCAAAAACGATTACTTCTTAATTAAATTGTTTTAAAGAATCAATGGTTTCCGTAGAGCACAAACTTCCATCAAAAGGTAAATCTGAACTATATAGGCATGAAAAATTTGATCTTTTGGGGAAATACAGTTGGGTCGGCTACCTTTTTGTGTATGGGATTGATCGGGCAATGAACTATTCAATTTATATCGACTGCATTCAAACTAGCTTTCTACTTGCGCAATTCCAGTTATTATTAAAGCACTAAGGCTAAACGAGTTCAAGGCTAAACACCGAAATGCGGTTTAAATATTTGCTTTAGAGGATTGCTTCGCTTCAACCCCATTTACAGCAAGGCGATATATTTTTAAGAAAATAAATACAATTTAAAATTTTAATAAAGATTATTGACATTATTTATTCCTTTACCGTTTCCTTAAGTGACCAGAAGAGGAGTATTAGCCCATGAGCAGCCGAGGCATATCAATATAATTACATAACAAGAACCACCCCCAATTTAATTACGATACAGGAAGGACAACCAACTATACACGAAAAAAAGGTGATGAACTAAATTTATAACATCCGTTACACTTTTTAAATGAATAGGAAACCCGAATTTCCGTCACGTACTCGACTTTAAACAAAACGAAACGAAAATTTCAGGTGCAAAGAGACCGTGGCAACCGCGCTCGCTTTCCGCAATACGTTTCTTGATATCTCTTGTTATCGCCCGACATATTTCGTGTCATGTTCTCTGTTTAATTTTACGACCACAAATGAATTTGCGAGCGCAATTTTGGTCAAGCTCGTTTTCTTTTACTATCGATTTATTTTAAAAACTTGCTCCAAGAACTGCCGAACCAAAAGGCTACCAGCATCCCGTTTTCACCAATCACAGTCTCTCATTTCTGTCTATTTACGTCATCTCAGCTCTATTCAGTGACCAAAGAAAATCGACGATTCTCTGCTAACTCTGCTCAAAAACCCAGCTCTTTTGCAAGCTCTGGGGGACTGGACTTAGTTCACCGCTGTCGGTATTTGACAACCGCACATGTTCGGAATCACTCAAAAGCTGTTAGCATTATTCTAGTAGGTACTTTATTATAAGTCCACGTAGTCGTTCCTTTCGTTCTTTAATTACTCAGGACTGTTTGTACCTATGGAGCTTCAAGCCTAGAACTATTTATACCCAGCACAATTCACACACGCGACTGAATAGTCCCAAAACGATTCATACCTAAGACTATTCCTATACAAGACTATTTGACTATGTGCTGTTTCGCAAGGTATAGGATTTGAAAATGTTACCTCCACGTTGGTTGTGCCGTGATGTTGATTTTTCTTACTGGCTCGTTGACTTGGTAGAAAAATTCGGAACCTAGTACGCAAATAAAGCGCTAAATTTGAATGTTCCGTCAAATTCAAAATCGATACGTTACCTAAATTATATCTTTAAATCAATAAATACTGTCAAATACAGTGAATACATCGTCTGGTTTATTTATGATGCAAACGTTATAGGTTACAATTAAAACAATATAAACAATTCCGTCTAAGATTCGAACCGTAACTCAAAAATCTTTCTGGAATTTAATACACAATTTACTTTTATTTTCGTTAATTGGCTATTTTTTGTTTCAGAACGTTTGAACGTTTTATACGAAAAGAATTGGACCAGGCTCGTGACGGAGCAACTGAAACGGTTTGAGAAGGCTGTTATGGACTCGTCTCGTACAGAAGGAATGGCCCCTTCTCCATCTCCAAACTGGACGTTCGGCGGAGCTCTTTTATACTCTCTCACCTTACTCACAACCGTAGGTAGGTAAGCATTGTTTAAGTGTCATTTTTGTTTAACTAACTGGCAGTTAAAGTCAGTAATTTCAATAACAGGTTCGGATAATCTGTGGATAAGATTGCCCAAACAATTAATGCCAAGCTTAGTAAACGTCATCGTTAAGTAGGCTACTTTCGCTAACAGCTATATGATACAACAGATGCTGTTTTGTGTTGTAGGATATGGACGGTTATCTCCACGCACAACCGCTGGAAAAGCAGTAGCAATGATTTACGCCATAATAGGTGTACCACTAATGTTGGTCCTTTTATCTGCACTTGGCTCACTTTTGGCGGGTGGCGCAAAAAGGGGATACTCAAAATTCTGCTGCAAGAACGACAACTCAAGCAAACCGACGCCGGCAGTTGAATATCACAGAGCACCTTCTAGTCCGTCTGGAAAGCACGCTTATCGATCTTCACACGAAGGTATCTACCTCTAAGTCTAGAGTAGAATATTTTTAAGGTTCATCTTTTAGACACCTCATCCATACAACTAATGCCAACGCATTGCGGCCAAAACAATTTAAACCACAAATTCTCTCATCATCAACACTTCGAGCACCAAATTGATCAACAAGAGATTCCCAAGCGCGCCATGTTGGCAACGGTACGAGCCACTCACATCAGGGGACGCTGTGCTTTGGGCCAAGTGAGGCAGATGCTAGCCGATCCGATGATCTGCCCCTCTCACGCACACTGTTCTCCTTCCACGAACGCCTCTGGGTGTACGGTCTCGATATCAGACTTAGACGAGGCTGAAGAAAATGAAGAGCACGACTCTGGGTAAGTCCGACCAAATGAAGAAGAACTTGCGATAATGCTGTTTTTTATTTAGTATATGCACTCACGATACACCTTCCAGGATGCCGTTGATATGGCGATCACCAGAACCGCTACAGAGATCATCCACACCTTTACCGACAGAACCACCACCGTCAGTGCCTGCTATAATAGTGATCTTATTTTTCGTCGCGTACGTTTGTTTTGGCGCCGCCGTGTTTGCGTCAACGAGCGGTTGGAGCTTCCTCGACGCTGCTTATTTTTGTTTTATAGCGCTTTCGACGATAGGAATCGGTGATAAGTTGCCGCAAAGCGCGGACTATAGTACGCAATTGCAGTTACTCGCTTGCTGCCTATATTTATTTTTCGGACTTGTCATAGTGGCAATGTGCTTTAGTTTGGTTCACGACGAAATCGCCACCAAATGTAAGCAGTTTGCTGTGAGTATGGGACTTGTAAAACACTGACAGTGTCTTTTTATATTGTAAATCTGATATTGTGTACTAATTGCTCTTGTTACTATGGTGTTTCAAAATAAAATGGACCGTGATTTTTCTTTATTTTTCAATGTAGCGCACTATTAGAATAAACCAGCAACTTAATTACCGTACTGCTTTACGTCTCTCGCATAATAATTCTTTGACACCAGCTATCCGCGTAATGCCACCAAATAATCTCTCTCTACTTTATCCCTACTTTCTCAATTTTTACAAAATACACCCACAAAATGGCGCTAATTGGTTTCTGCGACCATGTTCACTCGTTCAACCAGTAAACTTTCTCCTGTCTAGCCAATTCTATTCTTTTAAAAGCCATTATCCAGTCGATCTAAAGCAAGTCGACTTTCTGCGAGTTTTTCAAGTAAGTAATAGTACTTATTGCCTGTGCTATATTCTTTGATGGTTTGTTCATTGTACCTCTTAATATAATCAAAGTATATAACGCCCACGAACAAAAGAACTCTGTGGGCGTTAAACTGGTAAAAAGTAAAACCAAAACACCAATAAACCACAAGTAGAAACCAATTTCGAAAGACAATTCAAAGGGCTGTAACTTTTGAACTAGTCGCCAAATCTTGGAACTGTTTGAAATTATGGATTCTACAGGCCAGACATCCCACGGTCAAGTTTCAGTCAATCCGGGGTAGGTAAAATTTTTTTTCCGGGCCGATCTGAGACAATTTTTTTTGAGGGCCTCAAAATAGGCTTCCTTTTTTTACCGAAAATCGACTGCACCCACCAAATTTCTCGGGAAAACATTTTTTATTATTAATTTTTGTTCGTAGAATCCAAAACACTTCGTACTTTTTCGATCAGACTTCTCAATAAAAAGTTATAGACTAGAAACCAATTTCGAAAGAAAATTCAAAGGGCTGTAACTTTTGAACCAGTAGCCCAATCTTGGAACTGTTTGAAAGTATGGATTCTACAGGCCACATTCTATAAGAAAATTTTTTTTCCGAGTCGATCTGAGAAAATTTTTTTTGAGGGACTCAAAAAAAGGCAGTGTATAACCTTCCTTTTTTTTTACCAAAAATCGACTGCATCCAAATTTCTCGGGAAAACACTTTTTCTTATTAATTTTGGTGCGTAGAATCCAAAACAATTCGTACTTTTTCGATCAGACTTCTCGACAATAAAAAGTTAAAGACTAGAAACCAATTTCGAAAGAAAATTCAAAGGGCTGTAATTTTTTAACTAGTAGCCCAATGAAGGAACTGTTTGAAATTATGGATTCTACAGGCCACATTCTATAAGAAAAATTTTTTTCCGGGTCGATCTGAGACAATTTTTTTTGAGAGATTAAAAAAAAGGCTTCCTTTTCTACCAAAAATCGACTGCACCAAAATTTCTCGAAAAAACACTTTTTCTTATAAATTTTGGTGCGTAGAATCCAAAACAATTCGTACTTTTTCGATCAGACATCTCAATAAAAAGTTATAGACATAGAAACTAGGGAATGCAATACCGGGATTGCGGGATCCCGAAATACCGGGATAAGAGAGACAGCGATTTGCGATTTACGAAACGTAAAACCGCGTGACAAAATTCGCAACGGAAGGTAAAAGGCGCCCGAAGTTGACTACTTCTCGGAGACGCGCGCGCGCGCCTTGCAAAAGGTCGTTTATTTCGCCCCTAGGACAAAAAACAAAATTCCGCTACGCCGGATCGTTGTGCGCCTTTACAACATCTTTTCGACGACACCAAAGAATCAGACCAAAACTGTAGTAGAAGATAGGAAAAAACTGAAAAACCTACACGTTAGTAAACTACGCTCGAGGATGACTCCCAGATGTCGCCAACCCCACATCATGTAGCCCTGTCCCTAAGGTTGACAAATTACACGACCTTGTAGATACACGTACACCTGTTGCCTTTCTACAAGTTCTTCTACGCGCCCGCATTTGCTGGCAGCCAGCCAGCCAGCCAAAGTGAGATTAAAAACTACTTTTTACAAATAAATTTGCAAAAATGCGCTAAAAAACGCTTCCTCCAAGTAGTTGAAGGTTCTATGCAACTTTTTAGATCTTTATAGGGCTCTTTCTAGATCCTTTACGCCCTTAGGCAAGTTTTCTTGTCCTGACCCGAGGCTGTAGAACTTACAAAAGTGTCCACCATGGGGAAGCTTCCCAGCTAGACCTGGTAGCCTTCCTGACTCAAGCATAGGCTTCTATTTAATATACTCTGAAGATACCCACCGCAATACCCAAACCAAACACAACTTAGACTTACATATTTAATTAAGTAAAATGTTTCAATATACAACCACAGATTAGCCTAGTGTAATCTGTGATACAACTTTAGAGATCATCATGATCCACCCGATAAAGTCCTGGACAGGCAGCTGATGGATCTTGTATATCCTCAACGAAATCACAACAATAAATACAATAGCCATATACAGCTCGCAGATAATTTATTAATTCATTTAAGGCGGCTTCTGTTGGTCTCTCCTCTTCCTCATCTTCACTCTCACTTTCCGAGTCCGAATGTTTGTTTTTCTTCCTAACCGCATCCATAGTTTGTTTGGTCCAAAACCACGGTTTATCCGGTTCCTTAACTTCCTACGGTGATCTTTCGTTAATAATTGCAAATGTCCTAAATTTACTCACGTGTTTAAAATCTAAATCCTCGCAAGTTCTTTGCGCTTTAAAATAATCCTTGTTCAATCTAAACATGTTGCGCCTTTCCAAATTTGTATTTTGAAAGGCTTCCTCTTGTTTCTTACCCGCTTTCTTCGCGAAGGCGACGCGTGCCCGTGCGAGTTCGTCAAAGTGAGTTTCGGTACCTAACCCGCTATTGCCCTGCTTCACCTTAATATCTATAGGTTTCGTAATACCGCCGGCTTTCCCCAGACCGCTGCCCGACTTATACCCCATCTTCTGAAGCAGCTGGAAGCCCTTGTTGTCCTCCGCAATAGCCGTATTCAAACCCTTATCTCGAGTCTCGGTCTCCTGTTCGGCATAGCGTTTCGGTTTCTTGCGCACCAACTCCTGCTTTTGCTTGTATAGCTCGTGACTTCTCTTTTGAGTACTATTGAATAAAAGGCCGGGACGGATGTCGTCCTTTTCACTAAAACGTACGTCGCACATGAATCTTGTGTACGCCTGTTAAGAAATTAATTACCTTCCCAACAATAATTTATCGGACATATAATCCTCCTCAGAATCTGACATTTTGTATTTCTTGTGGAATTATTTAAAAACCAAGAAGAAAAATAACAATAAATACATAACCTAACTTTTTTCCTACCTAACCTTTATCTTTCAACTCAATTGCTCGGTTGCCAGTTGCTCGACTAATTTTATTCATACAGTATGTCGATAAAAACGATAAAAGTCGAAGAGAACTTACACTAATCACAAACTGAAAGGACACGAACAATAAACCTTGGTAATAAATGCATATTGTTAGCATTTTGGGCATTTAATACATTTTAGAGCATTTTAAGGCCATTTCTAGGGCGTTGCACAGTATGTCCCCGAATCGACTTTACAAGAGGTAAATCTACGTTACAGAGAAAAACTACAAAAATACGAAAATAATATAGTTGAATTGTACAAAAAGTCAAAAAGCGTCTCTATAGTAAATGACACTTGCTTGAGCTGTCTAGGCTCTTACTATGGCCTCAGATAAAATTATCTGTGCTAAGATATTATTTTGGTGCTTACGGAATGTAAGATTTTTAATTTTTACAATCTCGACCTCCCTGTATATATCGTTATAATATATTACAAACAAACTGGCAACGTAGCTTTGTATAAAATTCCATCTAAATTTTTTATAGAATCCAAGGGCGATTATTATGCAATTTTCCTGATTAATGTAAACATGTAAAGAAGCAGTGCATCAAATAATGTAGAGCTTACATGACAAAGTCCAACAAATGGACAAGAAAGTGATAGAAAATTGTTCTCAGGAAGAAAGGATTCCGGAAGCACTAGAAAACGTTGTCGGCAGGGCGAATCGAACCGAATTCGATGCAGTCCATCGCAGATTTACTGAACCAAAGGACCCAAAGTTAATCCGAGAATATCAAGTTGCCAACGATTACTACTGCGATCAGTGCCGGTTGTTCTTTGCACCGGACGTTGTAGGTCTCAGGACACACTTTAAGGAAGATATGGTGCGACATCGACCAGTGGGAAATTGCTTTTATTGTAACGGCCCCGTATACGCTTATTATTATAACAATAACCGAAGAATACATCATAACTGCCGTAATCGTAACCAAACTTAGCTGTACCTGGTACGTTAATTTTTGGAATGTTTTTGTAAATAATAGTTTATTTGAAACCTCTTTACGAAGGTCATATGAACGTTTTTTAATAAATAATAAATGTTACTTTTTTGAATCACACTGTATTGTATTGATAGTATGTAAACAAAGATGGCCGTCGATGAAAGAAACTTTCGATCTGCATACTACGAAAAGGTTGGTTTTAAGAGTGTGGAGGAGAAGAAGTCGTTGGAGATTTTGCTAAAGGAAAAAACGCTGGATCGTGTAAAATTGAAACAATTCTGTTTGCGTTTCTCGGTCCCTTCGGTCTATCGAAATTTGGTGTGGAAAGTTTTGTTAGGTTGGTGTTCCGCAGGGCGGGCTTTATTTGAATTTAAATTTTTAGATATTATTCCCCCGCACGTGAATTGCCATCCTTTTGTAATGGATCAAAGACGACAAGAATGCAAAAATATGATTCACTCTCTGCACGTTATGCGCGTTGTCGATTCGACAATGAGTAAACCGCAGTTGATGTACGCCATGTATTTATTGCAGACGAAGAAGTTGAGGTTTAGTGTCAACTTGAGGGTAAGTCGAAGGAGTTGTGCTCATATCTTGTGAGTTTTATGGGTAGGTAGAGAATGGGTTTACTCAAATTGTTCAGTCGTTGCAACAGTTCTTTGAAGATGATGCCGATCTGTATTGGCTTGCAAAGTGTTTGTATGCAAATACCCAGAGGTTCAAGCAAGATATACCTAAGCTTATAGAAGCTACAAATGCTCTGTTAGAGAAGGAAGACAGTACACTTTACAAGCACTTGAAGAAGTGCGAAATTATAAATGACTTTCTGATAGAACGATGGTTTGATAGCTCTTTTGCTGGGTTGCTCAAGGAAACTGCTCTAGCAAGGTATCTCTATTGTGTTATTGATATTATTCAAACTTGAAATAACTAGGATCTGGGACAAACTCTGCGGTGGTTCCTGTTCGATATTAGTATTTGTTGTGATAATCCTTCTAACAAACCAGAGGCACAAACTTCTGCGTTGTACTGATTCAAGAAACGCTATGGAGTGTATCTCAAATGTAAGTGTTAAGGATAAACTATCGCTCAAATAAGTACAGTTTTGTTCCAGTTACCAGAGGAAACTGCAGAAATAATAGCCAATAAGGCCATAGAAATGTGGCAACAACATGGTAGTCCTCTCACGGTTCATGATAAACCCAAACCAGCTAATACATAAATTTTGTTATCCCCTATTGTTTATTTTACAAACAATTGAAAAGTATTATTTATAGCTAATGTAATAAAAAAACGAATAGAAAAGTATCAAGTGACATCTTATATGTATTTATTACTAGCCACAGCAAATTTTTTTATGTTGTTGTCTATCAACTAATTTTTGACGTTCAATAGATGTGAGCTGACCTTAATGGCACTCGCACAACCTAAAGAATTTGGCATTTTTTTCGCTCAAAAATCACAAAAGGATGTGTCCTGCAGATGAGTGCAGACATATGTTTTTTTTAAGGAAGACAGTTTGAGCCGAACCACAATTTTTTGGGTGCAACTGCAATTTCCATCAAGTCAAAAATGTAATCTATAGGTACCTAGGGCAAACATATGGTTTGGTAACATATATTAAACAAAATTCATTTTATGAACTGCTGGCCCTGTTACCTCCGAGGATTAATAAATCTCATGGGGCGAATCTTACGGGAGCGGAATCGCCGGGGGCGAATCTTCCAGGAGCGAATTTGTTGGGGGCGAATTTTCCAGGCGAATCTTTTTGGGATGAATTTACTTGGGGGCGAATTTTCAGGGGCGAATTTTCGGGGGCGAATCATCCTCAATCATTTCAGCACATCATATGGATAAAAGTGGCAGCTGTATCTAACCATATGAAGTAATTAATATTTCTTTAATATACATTCCTATAGACAGAGTTGGACTGGGTCAAGCATCATAGAGTGCCCCATTTGACCCGGTGACCCAGCTTGACCCAGTGACCCAGTTTGATCCTGTGGCCCAGCTTGATCCCAGTGACCCATCTCGACCCAGCTTTACCCGGTGACCCATCTTGACCCGGTGGTCCAGTTTTAAACCGTTGACCCCTAAGTTGATCCAGTTGAATCCGGTGCGACCCAGTAATTAAATTATTGTTAGGTATCCGGAATATCTTAAGGTTAATTTTTCTTCAAATTTATAGCATTAGGTTTGTATTGGTATTTAAATTTTGTCATCCAAAACAATTTCAAGTAACTTTTAATTTAAAAAAAAACTTCCTCAATAATATTCGCCAATAAGCACGTAGCCCAATTTCATTCAAGAGAACTAATACCTAAAAAATCAAAACGCATTTGGTTATAGTTTGTATAGTCAAGTAGTCAATGAAAGTATTTAGAGAAAAGATTTATTTGGATTAAGCTATAACTAGTAGAAGAAAATTAAATGTGAATGAACACCACTAAGCAACTGGTAAGCCCTGAAGCAAAGAAATGATCGCAAGGAGGGAACTGTTTAGAAATAACATTACTATAATACAATTCGGGACATGGAAAGTTTTTTACGGCAGTAAAGCAAACATCACAGAAATGGCAGTTGTCAAGCAATCGAGTATTATTTTCAACAAACCAGCATTAAGTTTCATTTATTTCATAATCTGTACACTTGAACCGAGGTCACTGACTTACTGCGTTATTCGATCATATTAAGTTACTGGGTCAAATTGAGTCCCCGGGTGAAATTGGGTCGCTGGGTCAAACCGGGTCACTGGGCCAAACTGGGTCTAACTGAAGAGAGTATGACGTAACCCAGTGACCCAGTTTAATTCAGTGACCATAGGTGACCCAGTCCAACTCTGCCTATAGGCCCACCGCCCTAGGTTTTAGGTTAGTGTATTCTTACACTATGGTTTTCGTAAGTAAATCTTTACCTTTTTACGGACAAATGTATATAGGTATACCGACTCACGGCGGAAGATTGAACTTTCGGACTCCTGAACTACCTATTTTTCACTAACTCCTACGCTCCAACATTATATGGTCCTGAAAATATGCAAAATTATACTCAACAATTGATCTAACATTCAAAAACGCAATCTAATTTAAACTATATAGTATAAATAGCATTAGGTACAAAGTGTTCATGTAAAGTTTATAACATTTGGGAAAAGAATTAATGGTGATTATATACCTACGTACGATAACAATTGCCCATATGTTAATAATAAAAACATTGGGCCACATAATTAAGTATTTAACTCGGAACTTCAGAGTTTTGAAATAAAGCTCTTTTATTAAGCAATTTACGGGTCTTTGAGTATGCGAAAGATTGCAATTTAAACAAATGACCTGGTAAAAAAAGAAGATACACGCAGATGGAAATGGTTCGAAATATTCTGGAGCTTTTTGACCTTGAATTGAATTTGGCGCGCGAGCTAAGCTCGTTTGTTGTCTATTTGTGAGCTTTCAAGATGGCAGACGTTGCAAGGAAGTTGTGTTTCTTTAAAACGATGGTTTCGGTGTAAAGTTGTAAAATGTATTAAATATGTATATATTTGTCTTGTTGAAAATAGTTGTAAATAATAGTTCGTAATTGATCTGTGATATTTATGATGGCTGATGAGGAAGAAGTGGAGCCGGAGGTGGACGGCGAACGAGATCCAGACCACGAATTATTGGATCATTTAAATATCGTACAATCCATGATTGATGTCTCCGCCGAACGTTTAGAGGGATTACGGACGCAATGCGCTACGAGCGTGGAATTAACGCAGCAGGAAATACGAACATTGGAGGTATTGCGCTAGTGATCAGCTGATAGTTGTCAAACTTATTCCTTTGCAGGGAAAATTGATCAAGTTGTTTTCGAATCAGCTTGTAGCGAAAGCGGGGCTCCGATCTCTTGTTGTTACTCACCTGCCTTCGTTAACACAATGGCTTCAAGTTGTAGGTTTAAGTTTAACCTCTATTCAAGGTATCTGCCAACGAATAAGTTCCGTCGAGGAATTACAGGAGAAGTCGGAACACGAACTGAAAACAATCCTGACTGAGAAGAACGCACGGCCCGAAGAGCTTAGCAGGCTGTGTCGTGCTTTACACAATCTGCGACGATACACCGGTAGGCCACACTTAAACCGTCCATTCCAAATCTTTGATTGTCTTTTCAGGTAACATTATGCGACTCGTTTCCTCCGGTCAGTCGATAAATATTACGCTAATGATGGGTGAGTTTTGTTTGTGAGTTGTGAGTGTTTAATTTGCGCCCCGTAGAGGTACTTCGGCGACCGGGTAATAACGAGGGAACCGAGACACATCTGTCGTGGGACTCGTGGGATAGACACCATCCTCATAAGGTGATGGGTTTGTCGCCGAAGGCGGCGCGGACGCGTGCGACTAGAGCGTCGGTCCCATCCGAGGATTGCCTGACGAACAATAATAGGGGAGCTGTAATACCGGCATCACCTTCGGTGTCTAGTATCACGTCTTTGAATGCTCATTCTGATGTTGGACCGCCTCTAACGCCTCCCTATCAAAACCGCGGGAAAGGTAGGTGGCCTTGTGTGGGGGTGAATCATACCGTTTTCGGGTATCTACAGAGGATGTGAGTTGTGTTGATTGTGAGGCCGGCGTATATCCGGTGCTTTTTGGGATAATTATTAAGACAAATGTTATGAAAATAATAATGAGCACTTTGGTAGTAGGTTGGGTGCTTAGACCTTGAAATTTGACCCACTTTACCATACTGCAAAAGTTTGTGTTCAGAGTGAGTGGGATCTAAAGGTAAAGAAAAACTAAACTAAATTTACTTCCATTTTGAACAAAACACAACACATCCATGGTTGCACCTGCTTTAAATCCAAGGTTTCCTTGTTGAGATACCTATATATAGCCACCATTGGTCATTGGACACCCTGTATGGGTACATTAGTACAAAGTAAACATGATAAAAATGATTTTTCTCATTTAAGTAACTCAAAAACTGAAATACTCTTGAGATTCCATAATACGACCTTAAAGATCCAATATATTACGTTTCACCCCAGGCTATTTTCCATGTTAGATGTATCTAGCGCCAAAGTGGGCAGTATTCGAAGTACTCCTCATTCATTACCCAGTTCTGCCCCAGGGACTTTCCAATAATTGATCTGGTAGTAGCTGGCTGTGGTTTTCTCTTTCTAGCATAATGACTAGGGACCGGATTTCATGCTTTTATGCATTATGTAAATATTGTATGCAACTCAAAATAAAACAATAATTTACACGAACTAACAAAAATGAATCACATTGTCGCAACATTGTCGCAAAGAAAATAGTGCATATTTTGCATTTTTGAAGTTAGATTAGCATTTTAGTAACTTTTTAAAGCATTTTTATTACAAAACAAGATTTAAGTGATAGTAATTGCAACAATTATATTTTTATTTATAAATTATGAAGATAAACAAATAAATCAAATAAAATAAAAATTATGAAATAGAAACAGAACAAAAAAAAAACAATAAAAATAGAATAAAAATAAAAAGAAAAAAAAAGAAAAAAAAGAATAGAAAAATAAATAAGATAACAAAAAAAATATGGCGCCCAAGTTTGTCAAATTATAAAACGTCAGTCTAGGGGGAAACAAGTACCAATTTTAGTGTACACCAAAAATTCAAATTCAAATTAATTCACGTAAATTCAAATTAATTCACGTAAATTCAAATTAATTCACGTAAATTCAAATTAATTTACGTTAATTCAAATTGAGTCACGTTAATTGTCATTATTCTCGTTTATTCTAATTAATTCACGTTAGGTCAAATTAACACAGAAGGGTGTACACCAAACATTCAAAGTTGTTTCCATCTAGAATTTTTCCAAGGCAAATTTTTACCAGGACTAGAGTTTGCGAGTAAAATATTTCAACGGCGGATTTTTTCTGGGGACAAATTTTTTACACAAGTATACCAGGGAAAAAATTTCCAAGAGCAATTTTATCAATCTTAAATTCTCAAGACGAGAATTTTTTCATAGAGAATTTCCCCAGGGCGAATTTTTTGGAGACGAAAACGTGCCAAATATTCCAAGGCCTATTTTGTTGTTGTGTCTGGAAATGAATTTTTCCACGACAAATATTTCCAAGACGAATTTTGAGGGGACAATTTTTGTGGGTCAAATATTTCAAGGGCGATTTTTTGACGTTTCTGGGGCCAAGTTTTCCACGCAAGTTTCCGGGGCGAGTTTTTTAAGCGAGTATTCCAGGGCATAAACGTCCAACGCAAATTTTTCTTTGACCAAATATTCGAAAGATAATTTTTTCAACATTTTCTTTAGACGAATTTCCTTTTCTGGACGAATGTTTCAAGGGCAATTTTGGGAGCCTACATTTTCCGTAGGTTAATTTTTCGGAAGAGAATTTTTCCATAGCGAATTTTCCCAGAACAATTTTTCTTGTAGTTTTTGGGAGTGAAATATTCCAAGGACGACTTTATTCGGTAGGCGAATTTTTTAGGAAAGAAGTTTTCCAGGAAGAACTCTTCCGAAAATTGTTGGGGGTGAAATTTTCACGCAAATATTACGTAGAGGCGAATATTCCCTGTATGAATTTACGGGTTGAATCTTGCACGGAAGCATTTTAAAAAGGCGATTTTTTCATAGCGAATTTGTCTCGTATATTTTTTTCGGAGGACAAGGCTTTAGGGGTCAAATATTCCAGGGGCGATTTTTAGAGCGCATCAAATTTTCTGGAATTATTCACGCAAGTATTCTAGCGAAGGTAGATTTTTACGAGCTTTTTTTTATGGGAGCGATTTTCCCTAGCAAATTTTCAGGAGATTTCTGAGAGCGATTTTTTTTTACAGGAATCGGCGATTTTATAGAAATGAATTTTCCAGGACAATTTTTGCCAGGACGAGTGTTTGTGGGTCAAATATTCCTACGCAGATTTTTTCGAGACTAAATTTTCTGGGGGCAAATTTTTCACGCAAGTATTCCAGGGAAAAATTTTCTAAGAGCAATTTTATCAATCTTAAATTTTCAAGACGAGAATTTTTCCATAGAGAATTTTAAAAAGGCGATTTTTTCATAGCGAATTTGTCTCGTATATTTTTTTCGGAGGACAAGTCTTCAGGGGTCAAATATTCCAGGGGCGATTTTTAGAGCTCATCAAATTTTCTGGAATTATTCACGCAAGTATTCTAGCGAAGGTAGATTTTTTCGAGCCTTTTTTTATGAGAGCGATTTTTTCTAGCGAATTTTCAGGAGATTTCTAAGAGCGATTTTTTTACAGGAATCGGCGATTTTCGAGAAATGAATTTTCCAGGGCAAATTTTTGTCAGGACGAGTGTTTGTGGGTCAAATATTCCAACAGAAATTTTTTCGAGACTAAATTTTCTGAGGGCAAATTTTTCAGGCAAGTATTCCAGGGAAAAGTTTTCCAAGAACGTTTTTTTGGTGTTTAAATTTTCTGGACAAGAATTTTTCAATAGCGAATTTTTCCAGGGTGTTTTTAATGTCAAATATTCCAAGGGCGAATTTTTCCAGGTTAAACTTCCAGGACAAAAATTTGTTATACAATTATTCCAGGAAAGAATTTTCCGGTGCGCATATCCCCAAGGCGACTTTTTCAAGCCTACATTTTCCGGAAGCGAATTTTCCCAGAAGAAATTTTTCGGGAACAAGTCTGAAGATAAGACAATAGCCTGGACAATAGTGATTTTTTCGAGGCTACATTTTCAGGATGATAATTTTTCTATAGCGAATATCTCCAGTGAGAAACTTTTCCGAGAACAAGCCTTTAGGGATCCAGGGCGATCCAAGGGCGATTTTTTAAGCGCAACCAAATTTTTTGAAGCGAATTTTCTGGAGATTTATAAGGGCAATTTTATCAGGTTTCGATGATTTTTTAGAAACGAATTTTTCTTAAGGAGAATAAGTACCATTTTTCGTGTACACCAAACATTCAAATTCAAATCAATTTACGTTAATTCATGTTAATTCACGCTAATTGAAATTAATTCACGATAATTCAAATTAATTCATGTTAATTGTAATTAATTCACGTTAATTCTAATTAATTCAGGCTAATTCCGCGCCGTTTTTTAGGAATCCGAAAATACATTTGAGACTGACCAAATGTACGTAGCCCCCTACTTATTATGTAGCTGGTATCTACACCATCTGGTTATGGCTCGATTGCGCCACTTTAATTAAAGTTAGGGGATCACGTAACAAATTTCAAAAAATGGGAGGGGGCAACTTAACGTTCTAAAAAATTCTCTTTACCCCTCGGGAAAATAATCGAGAAATTGCCTTGATTCCATTCCACTGTGCGTTCAATATGCGCACTGTCTCCCCGCCTTTGCCCTTGTACCTGCTGCCGCATGGAGGGAAGGGGGTAGTGCATGAGAACCCTAATGATCTACCATGAACATTGTGGTTGTCTTTATTAAAATAGGCGTAGTTCAGTGGAGGGCACTTGGATTTGTTCCTGGAATTAATTCTTTGTGCAGGAGCCAGTAAGATTGTTTCGTCCCATTTTTTGACATGCACTTTTTATTCTCAGGGCTAAAATTCCCAACAACCCCACCGCCTCGAAGAAAGCATCTAACCGGTATCCAGACCACTGGCGTCCTACTTCCCGACTCTTATCCACTCACCAAAAGCAAATCGCACGAGTCCCAATTGGCCAATTCGAAAATTGATAACGGCGGAGTCAATCCCGCAAAGTAAGTCAAAAGCATTTGGTGCCAAAGGCACTAAAAAAATTCTTGTAGCACAAACGACAGGTTGGGTACGGTAAGCAGAAGGGCCCGTTTACCGACGGAACCCGGGCCGGATACGATGACCGGTTACGCTAGTCCCATTCTCACTAGTCCAATTAAATCGCCACCTTACAACAATACAGGAACCGATAGTGACGACAACAGCTACAAATGTAAGTTCTCTTCGGATGTCTTCGCATGTACTAATTGTTTTTTAGCTGCTACAAGTCTCCAAATACCGAAGTCACCGCGTACGCCTACGGTAGGGCGCGGCATGGGTCATCAAATAGCGCACCGCTTTACCAAGACGTTCAAGATGGTCGCGACGTGCGGTTATTGCTCGAAGCCGATATATTTCGGCGCGGGGCTCAAGTGTAAGGAGTGCAAATACAAATGTCATCGCGAATGCGAGGAGAAGGTAGCGCCATCTTGCGGTTTACCACCGGAGTTATTAGACGAGTTTAAGAAGAATTGGCAAGGTTTGACACACGTTTGCCATAACCATTCGCTTAAATGCATTTTAGGTTCAACTTTCCACTCTCCTAACACGGGCCGTGCCAGTAACACGAAGAACTTAATTAATTCGCTAAAAGGACGCAAACATTCTCATCCGCAACCGTCGATTAACATTCCACCATTTCCGGTAAGCCATTTATGTTTCAATTGTTTGTGTTAAAAATCGTCTCGGGGTATTACAATATTGTATACACGAGTTCTGTAAATAACTGCAAGTTGGCGATATACGTTTCTAATAATTGAGATCGTTGTGCAGACGAACTGCAAGAGAATCAAGAAAGTTCTCCATGGCAAGTGTATGAAAGATTTTACAAGGTGTTACGGGAAAATGGAGTTTTGTAATGAAAACGGAGATTTCGATCAGGTACGATAGTTGGAAGTGTTTGTTGTCATACCTTTTTTTGTCGCATCCGCCGATGTACATACTGTTAGATGTTTCCTAAATTGTGTTGTACATTGAGTTAAATGTAAGTCAATTTGTGTTTTATCAGAATTTTCATTGACATCAATCAGATCCGTTAAAATAAAACATTCACTGCTCATCTGGTGAGAAATTCATGAACTGAAGTATACTGTACAACATGGCGACACCTAGGTGTCAGGTCTGCTACTGTGTTTGCTGGTTTAGTATATAAGAGAGCGGGTTTGAACAATCCAAAATAATTACATGTGTGTGCTGCTAATGCTGTATAGAGGGAACTAGGAGATTCCGGAGGGCTCGCGTACCTAATATGGAACGCATTCAAAATTAAAACTTCTGCAGTAATCGGAAATATATGGCATCGACATCAAACTTCAAGTTTTTTAAGCGCGCCAGCCATTAATTATGCTTATCCAATCAGGGGCGTTCAAACTTCAATTAACACCTAGGCCTAATTGGAATTTTCCAGGAGCAACGACTGCTGTATACTTGCTCGCTGCAAGACTGATAACGTGTAAACACCTATATTTGGAACTCGTTATGTCCTTGTTTTCACTTACTATTGGAATCTAAGATCCGTCGTTAACTGCCCAAGGAAACTGAAATTCTTAAAATAATAATTCGGTGTCATGTTCTCCATATTAAAGGCTTTATCGCTGAAGATAACACCCTGACACCGTTCTGAACTGCGTGCGTTTTATCGCTATACCTACTCACGTTCATGTTTCGTATGAAGCGTATATGTTGAACAAAATTCAAATTTGAAAATAAAACTTTTGAAACTGCAAAGCGGCCAACCGTTACAAAGATTATGTTTAGTTCCATGTTTTCATTGTGCCCTAAGGGGTCTAAAACGCATTCCTGGAAGATAATCAACCTGTGGGGCCGATACTTCCGTCTCAATTATATGAAACGCACAAAGCCATGTTTTCTTATTATATCAAAAACATTGGCTTACACTTGATCCTAAAATTGAACTAAAAATCTGCTCATGCAAATAATTCTCATGGGCCGATTCCTTCAGGAAAGATTTAAATTACTTTAAACTAAGCCAATATGCAAATTCCCAAAAATAACCGACCACTATTTTATACATTAAAAAAAATGACAGGACATGGGTAAAATTCTCTTCTACTACCAATTGTACAGGTAGTTTTCAATTGCGCTGGCGGCTTGGCGCAAATTTTTTTAGCACAAAATAAAATCTACTTACGGAAATTTAGAGGTGAGTGACAAGACTTTGTTCACTTTCCTACGTGAAATTTGCTAACACGAATGAAACATACCCTGCGCTGAATTACAGGTGACGCATTTAACTCCGCTAACCGGTTCACGCTAACTTTCTTTCGAGGTGCAACGCGTATTCGAATAACGCAAATCAATACACCCTGCGCTAAATTACAGGTGAGCGAGTTAACTTCGCAAAGGTTGCCTTGCTTCGCTCCCCATAATATTCTGGAAGAGTGAATACCTTAAAACACTGTCTTTCACCTCACTGGAAATATATGAAGCGATAGCTGAGGTGCATGAGTTCTGTCATTTTATCTCGCGCCCTTGGAACAGATTGAAGACATACCTTTGGCTTTAAAGCAGTGGTTCTCAACTGGTGATCTGTGGAGAAAGTGTTATTTTCGAGTGCTTTGGGAGTGGTCCGACAATACGAAGCATATAAGCTATATAAATTTCGCGCTCAATTTCTAAAAAGTGTTTTTATTTCCATACTTATCGCGCTAGGATCTCACCCTTGACCCCGCTGGGCATATCAGGGAATCAGGGACTTTTGCAGGTTGGGAACCACTTGAAAGCATATTACAAATGAGTGAAGATCTTTGTCAATGAGTTCACAATTCCGGAATGATAGGTTATGGAATTGTCATGATACTCATCGGAATACTCGTAACGAGTCCCACTGAACTAGTTTAGTGTAAGTAGATCGAACGTGATGTGTAAAGAAATTATACAGTATCAAAATGTGTCTCCAACTTCTCAGCTCGGATAGTGTTGGGCGCAACCCAAGTTCATGCACATTCATTGCCAATAAACTGATTGTTAACTGTACCCATACCTGCATGTAAATATCTGCTTGTTTATTTGCATTGAATGTGTTCGTACTCATAACTGCCTTATAATGAAACTGTGTGGTGAAGACAATCGCGAATTGTTAGAAACGTATAACTTGCATCATATTGTGGCAAGGGCAAATCTCACACAATCAAGACACTATATAAATATAACCAAAAATGTATCATCAGTAAAAGGAAGAAAGAAGAAATATCCACGCCCTCTACGTTATTTGAAATAAATTTCCTAACTTCAATTCTTAATTTAGGCTCCCGACTCAAGTTCCAACACTTCCAGCTGCAACAGCTCAACGCCGTCAAGTCCCGCTTTACTACAGCCAAGTCACACACCTCATTCTAGTCTGAAGCAACAGTTTCATTTTCCAGGTTAGCGATCGCGTCCGCGTTCGCTTGTTTTACTTAACGACGAATTTGCAGAGGTCACTTATCCGGAATCGAAGGAGGTAACATTGGAAACCCACCCGTTACCCGCCTCGTCCGCGCTGCATTACGAATTGACGAGCTCGCAACAGTCGAGAGATAGCGATCGCACCGTCTCAATTTCGGGAAGTACGGATTCCGATCGGACACCCGTACGGGTCGATTCGCAGGACAGTCAGGTTTCGGACACGGAGACGATCACGGATGGTCATAGGTGGCCGCGACAGAATAGCGTAAGTTGTCCGCGGTTTACGATTGCAACGTTTGCAAGTGGAACTTTGTAGTTGTCGATGCGAGAGTGGGATATACCGTTCGACGAGCTGAAGATTGGTGAATCGATTGGTACGGGACGGTTCGGTACAGTGTACCGAGGATATTGGCACGGAGATGTCGCTATAAAGGTTTTTAAAATGGATAATTTAAATGACGAGAAAGCTTTAGATCAATTTAGAATTGAGGTTAATTAGCTTAACTGCGTCGTTTTTAGATGAACTAATTTGATTCAACAGGTTTCGACATTTCGCAAGACGCGCCACGAAAATTTAGTTCTCTTTATGGGCGCATGCATGAATCCGCCGAGGTTAGCGATCGTAACGAGCTTAAGTAAGGGCATGACGCTGTATACCCATATACATTTACGTAAAGATAAATTTAATATGAATAAGACTACAATTGTGGCTCAGCAAATTACACAGGTGAGTGACAAGTGTTTCCATAATCATTTCATCGAAAGGATTCCTACCCTCTTCCGCACACAAGGTCTATGTTAGATCAGTTACCACATTCTTGGATTAGTTGCATTACATTCGATTCATCTTCGAACGATAGTATTTTCCTCCACTTTTTTCTACTGCATTGTGTTAGTGCATGTATTTCTTGCAGCAATAGAATATGACGCTTACCCTCTCTCGTCAGTTGTATTAGATTTTAATTATATCAGTGATCATGCGCAGCTATTTCATTTGTAATATCACAGATAATCTTTTTTAAAGGGTATGGGATACCTTCACGCCAAAGGTATTGTTCACAAAGACTTGAAAAGTAAAAACATTTTTCTCGAAAACGGCAAAGTCATCATTACAGATTTCGGTCTGTTCAGCGTGACCAAGCTGTGTTTCGGCAATAGGTAAGTTCTCGCTCATCCTCGTTGTTACTAAGCGACCGTTATTCAGAAAGAGCAACGCGCTGGGAATTCCCGCCGGATGGCTGTGTTACCTCGCGCCGGAGATCATGCGAAGTCTTAAGGCGCACCAGTCGCACGATGACGAATTGCCGTTCAGCGAGTCGTCCGACGTGTACGCTTTTGGGTAATCTCGCGTGAAATCCGCTACCTCTTTTTAGAAAGGTTTTTTTTTCAGTACGGTTTGGTACGAATTACTATGCGGCGAATGGCCCTTTAAGGGGCAAACACCGGAAGCGATTATATGGCAGGTAGGGAAAGGTATGAAGCAGCCACTGGCTAACTTACAAGCGTCAAGGGATGTTAAGGTGAGTTTACATATGCAAGCCGTTATACAGGGTGGGGGTGTTTCAAATTAGTCATTATTTCTAAAATACGTTCACATTTGTAGCCATTTAGTGGTGCCAAGTTAAACCTTAGAAAATGGTTGTGGGGGGGGGGGGGGGCAAATGTTCTACCATTCATGGTATTCTAATGAAAGGTCTCATAGAAATATATTGATTTCTACAAACTATAACTTTCCCGTGCGACTCTTTGGAGATCAGTGAGCGACGGGGCCTGAGGGGTGGGGGTGGTGGTTAAAAATTTATTTTATCTACTTGCATTCTAATTAAAGGTCTCAACGAAAGGAATCGTTTTCTACCAACTACTGCCCTTCTTTCTGTCCTCTTATCAAAGTACGGGGAGGAGGGGAAGGGGGGGGGGGAGTGAAACTAGTTTTATCCTTCATGGTACTCTAATGAAAGGTCTCAACGAAAAGAATTAATTTCCACCAACCATAGCACAATTTATACTTGTTTTATTTTGTGTAATACATTGGCATTACAATATTCCCCAAAAACTGAATTGATAACGTGCGCGAAAACTAAGGAAAATCCTACTTTATCATTGCTGGTATTGAAACACCTTCGCCCAGTTTTAAAATGCTACGTCGGTACTAATTTGACTCTCTAGAAGTGATCTTAGACACAAAGTAGCCACAGTCAAAGTGCATTTATTTCATAACCTTTCTGTTGTAGGATATTTTAATGCTGTGTTGGTCATACAAAGCAGACGATCGTCCCGATTTTATTAGGTTGCTAACGATTTTGGATAAGCTTCCGAAGAAGAGGTTGGCTCGCAGCCCATCGCATCCTATCCATCTGTCGCGTTCGGCCGAATCCGTTTTCTAAACCGTTCCGATGGGTTATCTCGCTGTTGTTGCTGATTTATATTTTAATTTACCTCAAGATGTAGCACTTTCAAGCGTGAGTGTAGTACAAATAAGACGATAAGTATGGTCACTGTTACACCGTACATTCTTTATTATATTTGTTAATTGTTGGGTCGTCTATTTTGCTAGTGGTGGGAATCGGATTGAATGGTAGATCAGGTTGAATGATTGGGCGGGTGGTGGGGGAACTTAGGTACTACATTTTTCTATAACAAATTAATCTTTTTGGCAAATATCAGAACGCTTGGGGCTGTTACGACTGCAGAGCTCTTATTGTCGGCGCCGGTGATAGCTTTGCTGTTGAAACGCGTTCATTAAAATTTTATTGCGATGATTTAAAAATTATGTTGTGATACAATATTATGATTAAAATAAGTTGATGCAATTCGAGGTAGTTGACTCAACAATTGATAAATGTAATAAACCCCCTCCACTTCGGAGAAATATCTCAGTATTGTACTTTTTACTGTGATTTAGATAAACATAACGTTTTTGTTACATAATTATTACGTTATTATTATTATTATTATTGTTTGTTTCGAAGTCGATAGGAAACATGTTTATAGGTTAAAGCACTACTGAAACTTGAGCAAAAAGTTTGTTGTTTATAATTCTTACCTCTCTTTCATTATCATCTATTGAAATTTAAAACTTTCTCAAAATATGTGGTATATGTAACCCTAGACTTATTTTCGACTAACACTCAATCATTGAAGAAATTATACTTGATGTGTGTTTTACATTTTACACTTTTATCTGTGTTATATAAAGACGTTTGTTGTTAGTGTAAGAAAACTATTCATTCAGTCTTTGATGGAAAACTTAACATATTATTAATTATTCGTCCCCACCTAAATGAACACATTGCTTTAATTTCGGAAATAGACAATAACGACGATTATGAGAAGCATTACATTCAAGAAACACAATTTCGCATTGGTTGTCTTTCACTCGTAGAGAAATTAGATAGTACTATCCAAAGACAAAGTTTTAATAATAGGTACACTTCTGCGTAGGAAAACAAAATTTTTCCGTAACTAACTCGCTTAGCGTATAATTGTGCATTGCTGCCCTTTAGTATTATCTCGTTAATTTTTGTGCAAGGTGTTGCAGTGCGACTGAAAAGTGTTTAGTTGCACCCTTATTCTATAAATACCACTTCTTCTTTATTTAACGAAAATTGTATAAAATACTTAAGGACATTTTTTGCTTGTCAAGATGTTATTATCTTGGTAAGTACTACTGTGTATATACGTTGTATTGCATTCCCACTCGTTTTTGTCACTCTAGTCCATTTACAATTTTTCTTAAAATTGACTCAACACATTAGCGGTGTCGGTGCACAATGCGTGTGTGTTGTCTCTACTTTAAGGCATATTCTGATCTAGAGTTCATGTAAATTATTAAGGATTATTTGGAATAAATATTCCTCTTACGTATTGCTTTTAATTTATCCGGATTCTACCGTTGGTTAAAGCCGAAAACGAATTTATTGGCAATTTTTGTAAATGTCCATTTTATGTATGACAAAAAAAGTCGGTTTCCAAGTGTACACTTTGCCATTCTGAGATTTAGGTAGCATAAAATATTACTGAAAATACTAATCGGATCAAAAACAGTGAGGAGGTTGAAGAATGTGTGGCGAAAGCAATAGTTGAAGGTACTGCTAGAGAAAAGAAAAAGACGGTACTTTTTTTTCAGCCGGTGAAAATTCCTAGGTATTGCATGATCAGCAGAATCGCCCCAAGAAAGATGCTTGTGTAAGAAGCTGGTTGAAATCACATCGGCTAACGATACACGCACCAAAAAGAGTGCAGGACATGAAGTTAAACCTTCATTTGAAATTTTTTACATTATGAGTTCGGTAATAAATAATGAGATTAAGATCGAAGTAAGTAATTTACCTATCAAATTGTAACACCCTGTATGTGCATTTCAATTTGTGGATTTTTTTTTGAAATTCGAGTTTCCATTTCGAGGTCGATTTTGTTTGTATCAGAATTATTAGATGTTAAAAGTTTGTTTAAATAATTGCCCCCTGTTTATTGTATTGTAAATCTAAAGTACTTGCTAAAAAGATTTCTTACGGTAAGTTTCTTTCCGGCTGTTGCGTTGAGAGTGATTATCGCTGCGTATGCTATTTAAATTTCGAGATAAGGGTGTGTTATCGCCGTTAGGAAAGCACAGGTGCGATTTGATTTTTTGAACACTCGCTGTATTTTGTAAAGAAGCAGAGGCGGAATTGAGAGTAAAGGGCCCACCTCGTATTGCACCCTACATATAATTATTCATAATCAGGAAACCATATCCACATCCAGAGCTGGGCAGTATTCGATTTTGTAAATACTTTGTAATTAAATACTTTTATGGAAGCAGTATTTGTAACTCAAATACTTTCACAAATATTTAGTATTCGAATACTTTGCAAAGTATTTGGATGCTTCGTAAAGTATTCGAATACTTCGCAAGGTATTTGAATACTTTGAGAAGTATTCGAATACTTCCCATAGTATTTGAATACTTAACCTTCCTTTTTTTACCAAAAATCGACTGCACCAAAAAATCTCTGGAAAACACTTTTTCTTATTAATTTTGGTGCGTGAAATCCAAAACAATTCGTACTTTTTCGATTAGACTTCTCAATCAAAAGTTATAGACTAGAAACAAATTTCGAAAGAAAATTCAAAGGGCTGTAACTTTTGAACTAGTAGCCCAATCTTGGAACTGTTTGAAATTATGGATTCTACAGGCCACATTCTATAAGAAATTTTTTTTTCCGGGTCGATCTGAGACAATTTTTTTTCGGGCCTCAAAAAAAGGCAGTGTATAACCTTCCTTTTTTACCAAAAATCGACTACACCAAAATTTCTCGGGAAAACACTTTTTCTTATTAATTTTGGTGCGTAGAATCCAAAACAATTCGTACTTTTTCGATCAGACTTCTCAATCAAAAGTTATAGACTAGAAACCAATTTCGAAAGAAAATTCAAAGAGCTGTAACTTTTGAACTAGTAGCCCAAATCAAATATAAAAATCCGATACATCTGAATACCGAACTCGATAGTCTACGTAACTTAAAAACAATAGGGACCTTTCTTATATCCTTAAGATCATGTCTACCAATTTTCAAAGCGATCGCACGTTTCTAAACAAACTGTCATGCACACGGACAAACGGATGGTCAAAAATGGATCTGTTCCAAAATCGCTAGGATTAAGTTCAGAAAGGCGTACGTATCATGTGCACGACGTACGATCGCTTTGAAAACTGGTACACGTATTCTTAAGGATATAACTGGTATAAGAAAGGTCCTGGTAGCCGGTAGGTACCTCCTATATAATAATAATGCGCTTTTACTCCCTTTAAATTTGTATATAACAATAGAAATATAAAAAAAGCTAACCCCATGCAAAGTATAACTTGATTTTTTATCTAGTAGTACTATTTTAAATTTTTAATGTATTTGAATACTTTTTACTGTATTTGCGCGAATACTTTTCAAAGTAAGATAATGAAATACTTTTCAAAGTATTCGAATACTTTTTATAGTATTCGAATACCTTTGATAGTATTAGAATACTTTTGAAAGTATTCGAATACCTTTGAAACTATTCGAATACTTTTGAAAGTATTCGAATACATTCTAAAGTATTTGGATACTTATTTTTTTTAAGTATTTGAATACTTTTCAATGTATCTGTACCTAGTATTCGCTTGTGCTGGACGTAAAAGTATTTAGTATTCAAATACCTTTGATTTGTGTAAAGTATTTACTATTTAGTATTCAAATACTGTTTGAAAGTATTCTGCCCAGCTCTGTTCACATCTATGTCAATAATTTCCGTGACGTCACTCAGTGTTTGATTTTGGCACTATTTACCTACGGCACTGTCATTCTAGGAACCGTAGCTTAAATGAATTGAACTACGCCACTGCTACCGCACTCTTAAAACAATTATTTTAGGTTAGAAATCTACAGTTTTTGTATTTTTTACATTTAAACTTAGACTTTGTTTAATATTTTGTTATGGAAACACAAAATTTGGAAACAAACCCCTACGCCTACCTAGAAAGGGAGGAGTTTTCATCCGAACGTTTTAAAATATCAATAAAAAACCTTCCGAAGTACTACGGTGTTAATGTACGTATTTGCTGTGTACGAACTCCAAAATATCTACCCACTGTGTCCTTTCAGGAAATGAAAAAGCTTCTAAATGACAAACTCAAACTGGCGTCGAATAAGATTAAGTTCCCCAAAAGAAACAACCCCTTCATTTTTGTAAGCTTTCGCAGCGAAGACGATCGAGAGAACGGTATTAAAACCATTAACGGCTACAAGTGGAAAGGTAAAGTACTATCTGCGCATGTAAGTAGCGGATGATGGCCGCTGTTCGTACTATGGCAAATTGTTACAGGTGGCCATGCCCGCACCGGATCCACTGGTTAAAAGACGAAATGAGCAAGACGACGAAGACGCTTCGGCTAAGAAGATCAAAGTAGACGATCGGCCTCAAGAGGAGCGGTTGAAATCGTCAACAGTACCGTTGTGTGATACACCGTATGATGAACAAGTAAATAGCATACAGTGTGTTCCAATTAATGCCGGCACTGTTGGTAACTTTCTTATTATTGGGGCTATTTTGAAATTGAACAATATTGCGATAAGATGTATGCGTCTAAAATACTAGGACCCCCCCTCCCTCCCCCCAGTTATTCCTGAAATTGATACCAGTTGGGTTATTTTAAATGGAATTTGCTGTATATGATTTCATTTTTAGATGGTATCATTGATTAGGTATACCATGCGTAGATTTTGACTTTGAACCACGAACTTATAAATTAAGATGGACTGCCAATGCTGAATTGACAAATGACACCTACATGGGGGCAGCCATGATGTGCACTCACTTGGCGCGAAATTCAAATCAACTAATAAACAAGCATTAACCTCACGTTATCTAAATAAGTTACTGTGACACATGTCCTTTTCCAAGGCTGCAATAGCCTCAAAACTTGAGCACTAGGAAAATTCCCCTAGAAAATATCTAAAACGTGCACATCATGGCCGCGCCCATGCTAGGGCCATTTTTACCTCTATGCAACTGTTTGATCAGCAGTCCATCTTAATTTATAAGTTCGTGCTTTGAACATACAAAAATCTATGTTCAATTCTTGAATGTACAATTACATGCCTGACAGTCATGCAACTCACCCTGCACACAAATTTGACCGCATTGTAAACAAAAGAAACTTAGTATTATAGTTATTTATTACTCCGGCAATTTGTTTAGCTGTCTTTAAAGGGGTTTTTCAGTTTTTGCTTTTTGGATCGGTAGTCTAAAACAAAATTATGGCAACAGCAATTTCCTAATCGGAAATGATAAAGAATTAGTTAACGGAAAGATCTTTACCTTATATGAACTCCCCAAAAGATGTGGAAGTGGAACTCTGAACCACGCTCCCTGATGTCCTAAAAATGGGACATATCTCAAAATCTAAGCTAATTAAGCGCGCTTCTAATGCCATTAGCCCAATTCAATCAGACGAATTAATGAACTACGATTCATTGTACTCACGTAATTTTCCGGAGTAAAATTTCCAAATTGGTAGCCCATTAAGGCCCATTGTTACCTGGAATTTCGGGTCAATCTCAAGAAGTTTGCGATTATGAAATAAACTGCACGACCTTGCAGCTTTAATGCTCGTTTTAAATCAACATAGGGAAAGTGAAGTCGGCAGATATCTAATTACCAGAATTAAAATCCTAAAATTATTCCCTTGCTTTCCCATACTGAGGGCTGTCGGATGCTACAAAAATAATTTGCATATCTCTAAGGGAACAATTAGAAACTTCACAATGATGTTCGGCAGCTAGTTTTCCTTAGCAGCGGTTAAAACACGACGCTAGAAATCAAAGCAATTACTTTTACGTTCTCCTAGTAAAAAACTAAATGGATCCAGAACTACAATTTCTTGTAAAGAAACGGGAAGGGGAGGGGGCGAATATTGCTTGAGAGCTAAAATCAGCGGGCGATTATTTTAAATTACCTCGAGTTTTCTTTGGGCCTTTTACAACCTTTTTATAAGGAATCTTTACTTCAAGAGCGAGTTTTTGTAATTACAACATACAATTTTCTTTGGAACAAGTTTCTGTCAAGTGGAGTAAGTTATCCTGGGAGGGATGTTCCATTTAAAAAATGCTTTTTTGCTACCAAAATTGTAGCGTTGCAACTCTGAGCAAAGTGTATGGTAAATTTAACCGAATTCACAGCTTGAATACTAAGAAAGTCAGAAATAGTACGGTCTTTCAATGGAACGCAGTCTAGTTGGGCTAATAGTGCAGTTTTAGCTGAGCATAAAGCAGGAGGAAATGAGAAAGGTTTTAGTAAAATTAGGGCACAATCTGGGAGATAACAATGTGGTACTCAAAAAGTGGGTGCATCAACAAAAGTGCGATAACAATCAAGTACCTTGCGAGTTATTGGATATTCGCCATTCCAGCGTGCAGGACGGGTTAGTTAATCGAATGCTCACAGCTTCACTAATCGTTCATGTTTAGCTATCGGAACAAATGCGAATTCACTGTCGGCGTGGACGAAGAAACGTCTTTACCTACTGTTGGTTTTCGCATCAGCAGCTACGCTAAAGGCGGCACGGGTGTTGCGCCCGTTGAAAATCTTAGGCACATTCCCAGTGAAATGAAAGTGGCTGTTAAAGTTAGTTCATCCAAATAATTTGATGAACTAACGAATTGGTGTCACAGTCAATCATTACGCCCGAAATTGTATTCTTCAGACGAGCCCTGGATTAGTTCATCAAATTATTTTGACCTGACGCGAATCTCATCGTCTTAGTCACACGCATTTCTTTAGGTATTCCAAGATTTCGTGCGCAATTCGAGCTTGGAAGTGTTCAACCCGGAATTTCAATCGGGAAACTATAGGCAATTGACCGTCCGTTGCGCCCCTCAGCAGCTCATGCTCGTAGTGGGCATACATCCGCAAAGTTTGCCCGAAGAGAAATTGGCAGAATGTAAAAATGAGCTCGTCGATTACTTTTTCCAGGGCCCCGGTAAATGCGCAAACGTTACTTCGTTGTATTACCAGAAGATTATTAAAAAGTACTTCGAAACGTCCTCGTTTTGCATTTTTTACAGTGTAGCTTGTAGGCAGTCCAACGATGACATTAACCTGGCCGAGCACTTGTACGGCGATACCCACATCAATGAAAGTATTCTCGATTTGAAATTTCGCATTTCTCCCGAAGCCTTTTTCCAAATCAACACTTCGGCGGCCGAAATTCTGTATAAGTCCGCAATAGAACTGGCGGAACCCAACGAAAATACCACGGTCGTCGATATCTGTTGCGGTACTGGGACTATCGGCCTTTGCTTCGCGAAAGTATTCGCCCATTTGTCTTTTGGTGAAAATTTTATTCGCAACATTTTAGCATTGCAACCAAGTGCTTGGGATAGAGCTCGTAGCGCAGGCCGTAGCCGACGCTAAAGAAAATGCGAAAAGCAACGGTATCGACAATTGTGAATTTTTTTGCGGTAAAGCGGAAGATTTGCTGAATTCCGTGCTTTACAGGGTCAAGAATGAAGATATCATAGCCGTAGTTGACCCTCCAAGAGCCGGTTTGCGTAAGTACAAATACTTGTAGCATGGAGTCCAAATGAGCATTTTGGTTACACTGATATCAATATGTGCCAGAGGTAGAGTAGATTTCTTCATTTCGAAGAAGAACAGTAGTTGTGTCTCTTTGGTTCCGATTAGAAAATAATTTAGGTTATTGGTCCCGCAGTAGTGTTTTTGCCCAAGTGAAGTTGATTTCAATTATTTAAAGTACAAATTTTAGATCATAAAGCAATTTTACAATTGCGGAAAGCGACAAAAATAAAGAAATTAGTGTACATCTCCTGCAATGCAAACGCCGCCATGAAGAATTTCGTGGATTTGGGTAGGAGGCCGTCGAAAACCATAGACGGAGATCCGTTTGTACCTGTCAAGGCTGTGGCCGTTGATCTATTTCCGCACACCAAACATTGCGAATTGGTTATACTTTTCGAGCGATGGGATTTGGTAGGTCGCCTTGTCTTAAATCAGTATGTATCTATTTCTTATTTTAGGACAAATTGAAAATCGGTACAAGTGTTGACACTCAACATTTAAGTAAAACAGCTTCAGATAAGGATGAATAAGTGTCTTTGTTCATATTGCTTTGTTAATTTGATGAAATGATTTTTATTAAGTACCTACCATGTGTATTTTTTAATGCCCTTTATTTTTAAGTGGGCGCCAAACATTTAGACCGAGAACATCGTGCACTTCAGTTTGACGACATTGTAATGATCTTGGGGATCCTCGAGCCGGCACTGCGATCTTTACTTACATTTGGCAACGTTACAAGCAGAGACATCTAACTTTCATGTCAAGACGACTGACGTTTCCCACCATATTAAAATCTCGGTAACAATCAGGACCACGTGGTACGAATGGAACTCCTACGTTGTGTTATACTATGACAGTTCTTTTCTGTGTTGGGACATGAAACACACTCGAGAAGATTAGTGAATCAAAACAAAGAGTTTTTTGCGGAAGAAAAGACAAAAAAGTGAATTATACCACGCCGGCTGGGAAAAACTGAAGAATCGGAAATGTACTTCCTCCACAGAATAAACGATTAGTCAACACATGCAGGGAAACTACACACTGATGATATACTTCCACGTGAATATATATAAATACTCAATAAAACAATATAAGGGCATATCCATTTGGAGAGTATAACAAACAAACATGATTCAGGTAACGGTACAAATAAAACAAAGCTTAGAGCACGTCAATAAAGAAATATCAAAATCTAATGTAAATAATAAATTAAAAATTGACGGTTATACACGAAAGTAAACTCGTAAGTACCTCTAAGTAGGGACCCTTCCCTTTACAAGAGATACCACGTGAATAAAGGTTATCGGTATCACGAAATGGTAGGAGCAGGGGATATTACGAACAAGTTAAAAAGTAATCGTAAACGATTTACATAAAGCGCATTTCCACTTGCATTCATTTCCTATTTGTAAGATGCTTTTCTAAATAAGAAAGTTGGAACTGCGCATGCGCAAACCTACATTTTGAAGCTAACGTTAGATTTTCCTTTGTTCCAAGTAGCTATGTATCGAATTTCATTTAAATCCCTCCATAAATAAGAAAGTTGGCACTGCGCATGCGCAAAACCAAAATTTGAAACTGGCGTTAAATTTGCTTTTATTCCAAGTGGCTATGTGTCAAATTTCATTTAAATCCCTTCATAAATAAGAAAGTTGGCACTGCGCATGCGCAAAACCAAATTTTGAGATTGGCGTTAAATTTACTTTTATTCCAAGTGGCTATGTATCAAATTTCATTTAAATACTTTTATAATTAAAAAAGTTTGCAATTCGGTTTATAAATGGTCGGGATGCGAAAAGGGCACTGTGAATTTTGAATCGATTCGACTCAACTTTTGGCATTGCGTATTATATGGCTAAAGCTATGCCCATATTGAATTTCATTCAATTCAGTTCATAACTAACGGAGATCTAAAAGCGATCGGACATTTCTAAACAAAGTTATCGTTCACACGGACAGATAGAGGGACAGACAGACAAAGGAACAGACCAACAGGCAGACGACATACAGCAATGCAAAATTATAAACAAACTCTAGGATCGTTAATAATCGGCAAAAGTGCAAAATTATGAAACATGTAAAAAACGGTTTTTTGTTTTTTTTACAATAACTTTTTTTGTAAGCGGTACAGAAAAAATTTCTTCCTTGGTGCAAGACTCGACACCATAACGAACCAAATAAAAAGTAGAACAATAGCTCTTAGGATAAAAAACTAGTAGCGTTTCAAAACGAGCGGGCGGACGGACGAACAAAGTGGCCACAAAAGCACGTTTTTTTTATTTTTGTGGAAATGCGCTAAAAAGCGAAATGAGGATTCCTGCGTAAGGTTGGGATAGGCAACACATCACACGTGCGCCTGCGTTTAAGGTTGCATATCTATAGTGAGGTCGATATTATTGTAAAGATTTCGAGACACACTGCATTTTGTGTTATATTATGATTAGAGGCTGAAAGGGACTAATGGCTGCGAGCTGGTTAAACGGGCATCAGGTGAATCAGGAGAGTAAGAAGAGGAAAAAAGTAAAAGAAGATTATTTTCAAGTGTTTAGAAAGAGTAAGGAAGATATAAGATCACTATCATCAGGACAAAGAAAAGTGTAGACTGTGAGGAGAGACGGCGGAACTGAAAGAAGGGAAGCGGAAAACATGGAAAAATTGACGGAAAGCGTAAAGGAGGAAATAAAAGGAGGAGCGGCTAATGAGACAAAAAACCAAAAAGAGAAAGTGCAAGAGAAGATAATGGGAGGATTAAGGGAAGAAATAATAATAGTAATGTTTATTTCTAAAGAACATGGTATCGAACAAAAAGAAAAAAATAAATTCACATGGGAAATGGTAATGAAGAGAAGGGATGAGCAATGGGATAAGAAAAGGAAGCACTGATGGAAAGGATTGGAAAATTAGAAGAAGAAAGTGAAATAATGGAAAGAGAGAACATAAGGAACAATATCACGATAAAAGGAGAAAGGGGAAGAAACCACTTACAAGTAGAGGCGAGAACAATTGCGAAGTAGGGGGAAATAAATTAATTAGAAATAAAATAATAGTGGAAAGAAAGTAAGATGATATAGAGCATTAGTGGTGGAAGACGAAGAATACAAATCGGGTAACAAAAAAAAAGCCTACTGAAAATAGAGACGATACGTTACCTGAATTATATCTTTAAATGCCGGTAGTACATCGTCTGCTTATGATGAAAACGTTAAGGCCCGTATTCACATAGTGAACGAACCACTCGTTTATTTTGTCGAGTGAATACGTGCAGTATGGACTGTATGGAAAATTATAGGGATCACTATAATGATGGCTGCGTACAGAATATATGCGATGGTTAGAAAGAGAAGTAGGAAAGAAAAGGATGTTAGATGAAAGACAAATGGGATTGAGAAGAGAGAGAGGAGAGGGAGGTTGCAAGAAAGCGAGAAATAGGGGATAGAAATGGAAGAAGAATTTATAAAAAGGTGCCAGGAAGATATACAAGTGCAGCATTAGAGAGAGAAAATGGAGAATTTACGAGGAAACAGAAGGTACCTTCAAGGAGCTATAATAACGGAAGGGCGCTGAAACATTTAAGGGATTGAAGGAAAAACATCAAATTAATAGCAAGGTTTAGAGGCGGAAACGAAGAGAGAGGAAAGGAGCGGAGAGAAGAAGAAAGGAAAATCGTGCTTGATTAACTGATTATTACCTCAACCGCATTTACGTGACTCATCATTACGAAAAATCTTCAGGAAAAGTTCGACCTTTATATTATACTATGAAAGTACACGGTAATATAAGAACAAGACAAAGAGCGCGCCTTCGAATAAATCTCCACTGTACAATTATTCAGAGCCCAATAACCGACTATATTATTAGATTTAGGGAAGTGCCCACTACGGACATGTTTAAAGTGCGATTTATAGCACTTTAAAAATACGCTCTTAAAACCTACGAAATGGAAAATGTGAAAGAGAAGCGAAGGTCGGCTTCATTATCTTGTTTAGTCGCGGCTTTAAACGGTAGGAGAACGCATCAAAAATTTGCGCGCTAATTGAAAGTTTTCCATTTTCCACTTAAAATTCGAGTAGTGCAACGGCAAAATGTTCGCCGGATTTTCGTGTAAGTACAATTATCCATTTTATTTGTATTGATTGTTCGTAATTATTTATATAAATTCGTAATAGATTACTGCGTAGGCGGCTTAGATATCGATTTGTTTAAATAACTGGGACAAAGACGCGTCTATTGGGACAGGTCATTTTATAAACAGCGATATAGTCTTGTGAAATTTTTTGAGGAGGTACTGTGTATTCATTCTTGTAAGTAGGTACCTACTAATTAATGAAATTATGTCATATTTATTTTGGAAGAAAACTAGTTTGAGGTCCTGTTATTATTTCATCTGTTGTACGGTGTTAGATTTTTTTGCATAATAAAATCGTCCTTGTAGTAGAGATGATGTCATTCTATTATATGAAAAAAGGGATTCCTATTAGCTAAATAGTTTAATAGGATAAGGAATTCACGTCCTTAAAACACTTAAAAGCAAACCAGGGCTCCTCCACTTAAACTTTTAACAAATTTTAGATTTTGGACTTGTTTCAAAATCTATTATTATTTCAAATAGTAAGAGCATTAGTCATTTCATTGACCTTAGAGAATTTCTTGATCGTTTCACGTGTTTAGCACGGGTTTTGCAATTGTTTTATTTATTCCACTTTTGTTTGGTGTCCAATCGCCAACTGCGTGATATTGGTTGTTGTTGTGGTTTTAACGCTGATTATTTTTAATGAGAAATAAGATCAATTAGAGCAGTGTTATATACGCCGATAAACATTTTTAAATCCGGTTCCTTTTTTATGTACCTAATTTGAGTATTTGACATTGCACCGGAGATGCAGCTTCCAACCGAGAGGAATGAGTCTAAATATATCGGTTATTTTAATGCTATTCTTGTATTTGACTTATTGGAAAGGGTGGCTTCCTGGTTGAGTGAGAAATGTTTCCAGGTCAAGTTACGGTATTTTTGGGTGCAATCCATTTCATTCTTAACCGCACACTTTCTTATGGGACTATAACGTACATAAAGTTACTACTTTCTCATCCCCCATACAGTTCAGTCAAATTCAACATGAAAAGATTAAGATCGTGAACGATGCTACAAATCAAGTTCCTACCTCTCATGGTTAATCTGCATACGTCTGGGGTGGTTCTTGTAAATGTGATTATATGTACCTATGAATATGCTCCGGCTAGATGTCAGCCAGCAATACTCTTCTGGCCTCTTAAGGAAAAGGGTAAAGAGATAAATAATCCTGTAAAGCAAATGGTTAAAAGGTTGGTTAAAAAGTATTCATTCGCAAAAACACACTTCTCATCGTTAAAGGGTTCGAATGAACACACGATTTACATGCTTTCACATAATCAAAATTTATTTTAAACACACAAATGAAAGGAATCATACAATCCTAACTATCAAAAATGGACTACAATAGCGCAGGTTTGACACCCCTCATAAGCGTTGGATTGCCATTAAACAAAATCATGAAATATTAAAAAATATTAGAAACCCAGCCAGATTAAATAAATAAATTAAAACAAAAATTTCATTGACAATTAATGACCGGTCATTAACTGTAGGCGTCTGGACCAAACCTCAATATCTAAATCGACATTGTTTACATAGCAATATATTAAAGATTTTAGACACCAACTGTGTGGTTAAATCGTCTTTACATAAGTACTTACTTATACAATGTTAATTAGCGCTTGAGTATAAAATTATCTTTAATAGTTTGTAATTAATACATCAATATGGTACGACGCTAGATCAATTCTATAACGAGCTTAACAACAACAAATGGTAACACGACGGAACGCGCCAATACTACAACGCGATAGAACAATAATTGTTCATAAACACCTTGTTTGTCGCGGTTTGCAATCCGAATAGAGTTGGTTCTCCCTTCAGCTGTATTCTACATGGACCGGGTATAGAATCCTCGCTGATGCTCGGCAGGGTATAAGCACAGAAACCCAAACACCAAGAAGATACCATTAGAGTAAGACCAGTCATACACACGGACATGACTGGCCATTTGGAACAGTAATATTTCAGCCTTCAATAATGGCACAATCCTGCACTTCTTAAAATTTTCCAGTCTTTGTCCTCAATCACTCTTTTATAGTATCACCTGCAACGAGTAACCCTAACATTTCGTTTCCTAGAATATTGACCATGGCTTTCATCGTCCTGGACAGGACATGCGAGAATACAAAATCTAATAGACATTTCATTCGATTGGCCTCTTGAAATCTCAGAGATTATAATTGGCCTACGTCTAGCACACTCCACTAGTAATTTTTCTGACCTAGATTGGCAGCGAGAACATTCACGAACTGTAACATCAAGACTACCACACTTAAAGCAGTGCTTCCTAAGCGGCTTATTACAGTTTCGATCAAGGTGGCCATTTTTCAGGTAATTTCAGCAATTTACCTTATAATGGGGTTAGATCCTGTTTCGAATTCGGGGCACTCGATCCAGAAATAACAGGGACGGATACAAAAAAAATGGACTCGGTCTCGTCTGTACAATGGATCCAGCTAGGGAATGCAATCCCGCAGCAAAATCTCAATCCCGGTATTTGCAGGATTGTTAGATGTTAATCCCGCGGGATCCCGGTATTTGCGGGATCCCGCAAAACTTTAAATAAATTTGCAAATAAGCAATTCTGTGCGGTTAACTTCTGTATTAAAATAAATCGCTAATTATCACAATATTTAACAAAAAAGTACCTTCAGCCTAACTTAGAACTCAAAAAAAAGGTGAACTTCTAAAGTGCCTCAAAAATCATAGTACATTTTTAACGAAAAAAGTTTAACAATTATTTAAAAATTAACATCTCAGTTATGCGTTTCATTAACAAAGTACACAGAGTCGTCCCCTTGATCGCCAAATTCCTCAGTCCCGCAAATCCCGCGGGATCCCGCTCCATTTATGTGCGGGATTAATCCCGCAAAAATGCTGCGGGATCCCGGTATTTCGGGATCCCGCGATCCCGGTATTGCATTCCCTAGTTACAGCCCTTTGAATTTTCTTTCGAAATTGGTTTCTAGTCTATAACTTTTGATTGAGAAGTCTGATCGAAAAAGTACGAATTGTTTTGGATTCTACGCACCAAAATTAATAAGAAAAAGTGTTTTCCCGAGAAATTTTGGTGCAGTCGATTTTTGGTAAAAAAGGAAGGTTATACACTGCCTTTTTTTGAGCCCGAAAAAAAAAATTGTCTCAGATCGACCCGGAAAAAAAATTTTCTTATAGAATGTGGCCTGTAGAATCCATAATTTCAAACAGTTCCAAGATTGGGCTATTAGTTCAAAAGTTACAGCCTTTTGAATTTTCTTTCGAAATTGGTTTCTAGTCTATAACTTTTGATTGAGAAGTCTGATCGAAAAACTACGAATTGTTTTGGATTCTACGCACCAAAATTAATAAGAAAAAGTGTTTTCCCGAGAAATTTTGGTGCAGTCGATTTTTGGTAAAAAAGGAAGGTTATACACTGCCTTTTTTTGAAGCCCTCAAAAAAAATTGTCTCAGATCGACCCGGAAAAAAATTTTTCTTATAGAATGTGGCCTGTAGAATCCATAATTTCAAACAGTTCCAAGATTGGGCTACTAGTTCAAAGTTACAGCCCTTTGAATTTTTTTTCGAAATTGGTTTCTAGTCTATAACTTTTGATTGAGAAGTCTGATCGAAAAAGTACGAATTGTTTTGGATTCTACGCACCAAAATTAATAAGAAAAAGTGTTTTCCCGAGAAATTTTGGTGCAGTCGATTTTTGGTAAAAAAGGAAGGTTATACACTGCCCTTTTTTGAGCCCCGAAAAAAAAATTGTCTCAGATCGACCCGGAAAAAAATTTTCTTATAGAATGTGGCCTGTAGAATCCATAATTTCAAACAGTTCCAAGATTGGGCTACTAGTTCAAAAGTTACAGCCCTTTGAATTTTTTTTCGGAATTGGTTTCTAGTCTATAACTTTTGATTGAGAAGTCTGATCGACAAAGTACGAATTGATTTGGATTCTACGCACCCAAATTAATAAGAAAAAGTGTTTTCCCGAGAAATTTTGGTGTAGTCGATTTTTGGTAAAACAGGAAGGTTATACACTGCCTTTTTTTGAGCCCCGAAAAAAAATCGACCCGGAAAAAAAATTTTCTTATGGAATGTGGCCTGTAGAATCCATAATTTCAAGCAGTTCAAGATTGGGCTACTAGTTCAAAAGTTACAGCTAGGGAATGCAATCCCGCAGATCGCCAAATTCCTCAGTCTCGCAAATCCCGCGGGATCCCGCTCCATTTATGTGCGAGATTAATCCCGCAAAAATGCTGTGGGATCCCGGTATTTCAGGATCCCGCGATCTGGTATTGCATTCCCTAGATCCAGCTTAAATTACCCCGGATTGACTAGAACTTGACCGTGGGATGCCTTAGAATTGCCTTGAAAATGGAAAACGGCATGGAATTTTTCCGGATAATGACTCGTTCCTTCTTTAGTGTCTTTTATATAGACAGGAAAACTTTACACTTTACGCTTTTACACCTACGCCAATGCAACGTTAAATTTCAATTTTAACCTTTTCTAACAGAAACAAAAAACCACGAAACGGTCCCTTTTGCTAATTTTCTTTTCTGAAACCACGTGGTTCGGTGCCGTGCCGTGACCAGAACGTGAATGCCTTAAAAAAAAAGCCCCACTCAATATTACTTAATTAATGACACCTACAAAATGGTGGATTAGATTACTTTAATTGTTAATTTGTTGGTTTAAATCCCGCCTTACGAATCAAAGTAGAGTGAGGGCGATAAACCATTCCCCAGTCTTCCAAATATGGCAATTTTTCAAGTTCCGTGATATTGAGTTGCTATCACGATGAGTCTGCAAATGTAACCCAATCGTTCCAATTAAAAAGATCCAGACTTTATGACCCTACCGATTTCCGAAAGCAATTAAGAAACAACGCCGCAGAAAATAAACAACGCAGTTGACCAATTTATTTTTTCAAATTCTAACCACTACATGGATAGATGGAAATGTTTAGAATATGGTTTCTTGAAAACATTGTATATACGGTAGGTAAATGAGTTTTCTGTGTCTATCGATAAGTTTTTGTTATTCGACTGTAGAAAATCTGGGTCAATTGACTTCTAGCTGTAACATGATAAAGATTTTGTTTGTTGTTGTTTGTTGTCTTTCGGTATCCTGATGATCTTTGGCTTTTTCAAATTACAATATGCAAGATCCTTGAACATTAAAGGACTATACCAATGAAGGAATTATTTGTTGTGGTGAAATAAATATCAGATTTTTATACAAATTTCGTTATGTTGTTGTAAATCCGCAATAAAAGTAGGAAAGGGCCCTCATTAGCGTAAGTACGGATGAACTAATGAAAACTGACGCAAAAAGATACAATTAGCTTAAATGCGAAATAATGGAGCACACAAAATTTTCACACCCATTCTAAATAGGTAAATAGTGGGTATTAACAAAATTACTTTTTATCCAAATCACGTAGGTAAGTATCTAAAACTAAACTCTTTTCTGCATTAAATAGAAACATTTAAGGGGATTTGGTTCAAAGTCGAATAATGTAATAATAACTTCAATAATGACTTGAGGAATCCATTTTGGATTTCTGCCAGATAGCCCTGCAAATTTCGTTTTTAGTAGGTACCTTGTTTGCTTTCCGTGATTTTGACTTATGCAATTGTTGTCACCAGCTGTAGCTAATTGGGCGTAAAGTACAATTTTTTTTTCTACATGGGTCACTTTAGGTAGGAGTTAATTGAATTTCTACTCACAAAACTATGATAAGCGCAGCGATTAATGAACTTTTTCCCATTAATGTAAGTTCATAAATTGGTATTTAATGCTACAGGGGGCTATCGGTAAAGGTTAACATCGAGGTTAACATATTAATAGATAGGTCTCTTGCGATTTTATTTACGCGCCACATACAGATAACGGTCTAATTTTATTTTAATGAGACGTTGTTAAATAGTCTACATTTTTAATTAAACATTTTGGCGTACCTATACCATTTTTTAGATGGGCTATAATTTGTTTTTGACCAGAGATCTGATTCATATCATCGTTAGGGCCAGTTTAACTAAAGTGTCCGCATAATCAAGCCCCACCGATGGGTATTTGTTCCCTCGTTCGAGACCTTTACAAGGGAAATAGGGAACACTATCCTGATAATGATGATAATGCATCCCGTCTTCTTAAAATAATTTTATTGTTTATTGCACTGATGTTCTTTTATGCTTTCAGCTGCCATGAGGGGAATTGGTTCCCGTTTTGGGGATCTGTTTTCAAGGAAAAAGAAGGAAGTCGACGAAATAGTACAAGAAAAGGAAGAAAATGTGAAAGAATTTGTCAAATCTGAAATTGACAAGACGGGACAGGCCATGGCTCAAGCCAAAGACGATTTTGTCAAGGTGGCTTCCGAAGCGGGTAAGTTTAAATCTGTAAACATTGTTCTAAAAGGCAATTAATAATTATTGTCAATTAGTGGAAGATACGAAGAAATCGGCAGAAGACTCGAAAAACGCAGCTATGGCTTCCCTTGATCAACAAATGAAGAAAGCGGAATCGGCGATCGACAACACGATTCAAAGTGCCAGTAAAACAATCGATCAAAAAGTTACTGAGGCAAATCAGTTCGTTGACGATAAGAGAAACAAAATGCAAGATGGTATTAATCAAACCACTCAATATGTTGATAATAAAGCGAAGGAGGCAGGTGAGTACATAGCAAACAAAAAACAACAAGTCCAACAAGGAGTTGATGACTCGACTCAATACATGAACAACAAAGCTAAAGAAGCAGGTCAGTACGTGGCTGACAAGAAACATCAGGCCCAACAAGGAGTTGATGACTCCACTCAATACATGCACAACAAAGCAAAAGAGGCAGGACAGTACGTGGCTGACAAGAAACACCAGGTCCAACAAGGAGTTGATGACTCCACTCAATACATGCACAACAAAGCAAAAGAAGCAGGACAGTACGTGGCTGACAAGAAACACCAAGTCCAACAAGGGGTTGATGATTCCACTCAATACGTGAACAACAAAGCGAAAGAGGCAGGTCAGTACGTGGCTGACAAGAAACAAAACATACAAGAAGGTATCGAATCAACGAATCAATATATTGACAATAAGGCTAAGGAGGCCCATCAGTACGTGGATGACAAGAAACATCAAATCCAACAGGGAACTGACCAAACTAATCAGTACATCGACAACAAGACTAAGGAGGCAACACAGTATGTAGATGACAAGAAGCACCAAATTCAACAGGGCATTGACAACAAGAAAAACGAAGCGAGCCATTACGTGGATAACAAAAAGCACCAGATGCAAGAAGGCATTAAGCAAACTAATCAGTACATTGACAACAAAGCGAAGGAGGCACAACAGAAAGTGGATCAAGCGAATAAGTACATTGAACAGAAAGCACACGACACGGCCCAATACGTGGACGATAAGAAAAAGGAAATTGAAGACGGTGTCCACCAAGCGAACCAATACGTCGATAACAAAACCAAAGATGCTAACAAATACATGGAAGAGAAGGTCAAGGAGACTGGTCAATATGTTGACAATAAGACTCGAGAACTGGAAGAGGATATTGAAAACACCGGAAAATATTTGGATAACAAGCGCGAGCAGATCGGAAATACGGTCGGTCAAAAATTGAGCGAGGCGCATCAGTTTGTGGATCAATCCAAACGAAACGCGCAAGAAGGTATCCATCAGGCGAACCAATACATGCATAACAAAGGGCAGGAGTTCGGGCAAGGCGTCGACAGTGCCCTGCAACAAACCGACAAGTACCTCGACAACAAGAAAGAACAGGCAAGCGCCGCGTTCGATAAAACCTTACACGACACCAATCAGTTTTTGGAGTCGAAAAGGGAGCAGGTTAAGCAAGGTATCGACGAGTCAAATAGGAAAGCGCAGCAGGACGGCGAAGCGCTGAATGCGGCGCTCTTCGCCAAAACCACCAGTCTGCTTGGTCACAAATAAATGCTAACATTCGCACCGAATTAATTTACTGCTAAAACTATTTATAAGTACAAAATGTGCGCTTGTAATTTGGATGCGCTAACTGTGACATGCTTCTGTCTGCGAGGAAGCATCCCCATCGCATCTTTGTTTTTGTGATTTAACTGGTTCTTAGATGGTAGTAAATACACGGACATTTTTTTTTTGTTTTTGTTAACGGCGTTAATTTTTTAGTACTAAAATTTGTTTTGCGCTTTTTTGAATTTTTACACTTGTACCTATGTAATTAAGATATTTTTGTATATTTACATTGTGATTTTAGATAAATATATGTGTTATGGGTTAGTGTATGTTTTTTAAAGTGGTACAGGAGTAAGTTTTCTCTTAAAATTACATCCCAGCTGCGCTATCCCACGGTAATTCAACGAAACGACATAATGGTCTTTAATACGGTATAACGATGTCCCGTTTCGTTCACTCGTTTGCGGTCTTTGTATCTTGGAGCTAATTTAAAGTTGTGCCTCAAGTCACCTGGATTATCCTGTGACTAATATATGGTTCCAGATGGTTTTGTCGGTCACGGACTGAATTCGGCTGATTCTGTTCCCCACGAAGTTATGGTATTTTTCAGGATACTCTTGATCCATGCTAATGCAGTCATAGAGTCTGATCACTCGAACCTCTGAATGTTTCCTAGATTGAGGCTTTGTTTGGTTCTTGTTCACAGCTTGGCTTCCAGTACTGCTCCATAGAGCGGTAAGGTTTGATGGGGCCACCTTAGATTCGGCTGTTAACATCGATGTCCTCATTTGCACACAGCACCCGACGTCACAGAAGGCATTGGATTCGATGGTTACTTTTCCATTGTCGTGGTTCCATCTTGGGATTTTGGTCTGTCCTACCTGAGATCCTCTCGGAAGGTAGTTTTTTTCCATCAACCTGGCTAGAAGTTTCTTGTTACACTCAATGGCTTCTATCCAAAATACCTGCAAGAACAGTTTAGCCCGTATTACCTACCATGGGTGTTAGCTAGTCCAGGGGGGGCATGTAATCTTGCCGTCTGGGATAGGATCCTTCGTTTGGTCTTGGATCGGCGCCCATTGTGCACCTTCTGGCCCAAAATCCATGAACCCATTTTCCTTGGGCAGAGTGGAAATAAGTTCCTTTCTAGTCTATAACTCTTGATAGAGAAGTCTGATCGTAAAAGTACGAACTGTTTTGGATCCTACGCACCAAAATTAATAAGAAAAAGTGTTTTCCCGAGAAATTTTGGTGCAGTCGATTTTTGGTAAAAAAGGAAGGTTATACACTGCCTTTTTTGAGGCCCGCAAAAAAAATTGTCTCAGATCGACCCGGAAAAAAATTTTCTTATAGAATGTGGCCTGTAGAATCCATAATTTAAAACAGTTCCAAGATTGGGCTACTAGTTCAAAAGTTACAGCCCTTTGAATTTTCTTTCGAAATTGGTTTCTCTTCCTTCCAATTACTTTTCCACTTCCTAGGATTGCACCCTCCTCGTTTCAACAACTGATGCTGGAGGACTTTTGCAACTTTTTGGTTGTATGACCTCGTTAATAAGTGGTCCATATAAAATTTCCGTTTCACAATTTCGGGTACTTCTGGAAACTGCTCAGTTTCGTCTTCTGCCAATTGTTGTACGGTACTTACTGATAGGATGGTGCGGAAGTAGTGCAGTAACACGAGGCGAGTAAAGCCAGGTCTAATACAGTTGTAGTGTACTTAACCTCCAGGTTCTACGCTAACTTCACACTACAAGAACACGAAAATAAAGTCAACCCGACAACGTTTAAAAAAAGGCCACCCGAATGACTATTCCCTCCAAAACTAAACAAGATTCCGCTTAAATCTGAAAAGTGGCACGTGATCAAACATCTAAGGCAGGACCCCCTTACGTTAGTTGTAGACAACGCTTTGACCTGAAGCACAGTAGGGAAGGAACGTAAAATAAAACACTGAAATTGTGAAAAGTTTGTTTATTAATGATGGTAATTATTAAGATTGTGAAAGCTCGGAAATTTAAGTCGAAATAAATTACATTTCAAAAAATAAACTTTGAAAATGGTATAGTTCACCGAATAAAAATAGAAATAGGCTGGGAAAAAAAAACCTTACCAATAAAAAACCTAGCCGTCAAATTAATATCAAATTGTGTTGTAATAGTTATTTGTACAACTAGTTTTGAAAGTGATCCTTTTTTTCATGATTTTGCACTTTGATTAATGAGGGCGAAGCCCGAGTTAATCTAGAAAATTCATGGAAAAAAGACACTTTCAACACGTGTGGTACACGAAATTTTTTTGCATAGTGATCCATAATAACCCACAATTGAATAATTTTATTGACATTCGCAATTTACTGTCACTCAAAAATGGATGCTATTGTTCATAGACAGGACTAAACTCCATGGAAACTCATAGTAAAAATCGTGAAAAAAAGTACCACTTTCCATACGATTTTTCGTTAAAAAAAAGTCCGTTAATTTCGTCACTATGTAAAAAAATTAATTGTTTGTAATGATGTGAATGCGTAACATAAAATTATAACATCAATAAAAGTAGCAGGTAAACTTCAAGAGGTAACGTATAGGTTAAAAACAAGTTTTGGGAAATATGGGTCAGGTAAGCAGGTACCAAAATTCTAAGAAAGGGTGAAATATACAGGACGTGACTCATATTTGGTGGAATAAAGTCCTTTTGTTAAAACAAGATGTGTGGAAATTACGAGTCGTAACTCATATTTATCGCACGTAGATTCTAAACTGAAGAGCTTTGATTAGCGTAATCCCGCTCCTGCAAGATAGGTACCCGCCCTTGGTTTCGAGATTTCTAAGCTTTAGAGGCTTGTATGGTTGTAGAGAGGGCATAGAAAGTTTCGTAAAAGATCTAAGGGGCCTTCGAAATGCTGTTGAACACTTCTAAACGCATTTTACGGTAATAGAAGGTTCGAGGAATCCTAAGCGTTCAATTACCTTTTAAAGGTTGTTTACACCTTTTTCAAGATTACTTTAGAAACCTACCGTAGGTTTCTGTGCGCCGTTCATAGCCTTTAGCTCTTCCCTTTAGTTTTAGAGGTGTAGTGAGACCCATCTAAAGTTAGGCAACGCACCTCACAACGGAAACAATGCCAATATGGGAAAACATACAAGGCGCTCTGTATATTCAGGAATCGTTCTGCGTAGCTGCCGAAGAACAGGGAATATATACATGTACAACGAAGCTTATTGCCAAGACAAATTTGCGTCGGTTATTAGATTTCCGGGGGCCTCGGGTAGTGGCAGGCGTATCGGGTTCTGTTTATTTATTTTGTTTTAAAGGGTGTATCTACAGGCAGTAGGTAATCATTTTATTCTTTTTCGCCATTTTATTCAGTATTTATTTATGCATTCATACGGGGGGATCGGATGATTGGGAGAACGCATGCGGGTTTCGACGCTCAAAATAATCAGTGTTTTAACTACCAACTTTCGACATCATAAGCATCTGTTGCTCGTCGTATCATTGAGTAATTAAATCCTTCACTCAACGGTCGTATACAGTAGACTAGTGGTCTCACGTGAAATGCAGGGTCTCTGCAAAATGGTTATACTTTTCGGTCCCTACACGGATAAATTGTATTCGACTGCCAAATATTATACGAGTAATAAATAAATAATAATACAAAAACAGACTGAATTTGAAACCCTTAAGATATTTCTTTCCTTTCAGAATTTAGGATGGATTGCGGTAGCTATGGAGAAAGCACTTGATACAAGGCTAATGCCTGACCAATTACGTCTCATTATTATTCAGAACTAGAAACTTTCTTGGACTAATATGAGTAATTACTTGATTTACGGTTCCACTGCCACGGTCGATTGGTCGATAGTCGGAATGTTTGAAAGAAACCTTATTAATATATTTTTGTTTCTTGACTTGGTACAAACATTTCAATATTTTCTACTTAAAAAGTGAGAGTGGAGTTGTAGCAAGTGCGTTCTCCAAAGCTACCTGTTTGCTCAGTGCTCAAGCGACTCACTGACAATGAGGTGCATAACAATATGTGTTGTTCTGCCAGTAGCGGCCAGTTTTAATTTCTTACATGGTCCTTCAGGTACGTCGACAAGCGTTTGCGTTAAAAAATTAGTAAATCATTTGTATTTCGATACCTACGTCGTTAACATACTTAGTGATTGGAGTGAAATGTGTAGAGTCATTTTTAGAGATGTGTCGCCGATACCCTACAGAGTTTTAAATGTAACTGGGGAGCTGGATATGAAACAGTACGAGTATATGGATTCTTCCAATGACTATATAACTTGTGCTGGAGACCGAATAATGTTGAATGTGACATTAAACAATTTACTTATGCTAAGAAATATAGAAGGGAAATCACTTGGGGATGTTAAGTTGTTAGCAATTGTAAACGTTGACATTGAGTTCATACCGCGCATATTTGAGAGATTATGGGTGGCTGGTTACCAAGACATTTACATACTAACGCAAAACCAAACGTTATATGTTGCTGATCGGTTTGACGTGGAGAACTCGTGCGGAAACACCGCAAAAAACATTCTTCCACTCAATTGTGATTCTCCACTACCACTGACCAAGAAAGCAATAAGATCGCAACTAAATAAATGCCCAATTATATTCCTTTCCCGTGATCCTGAGTATCTCACAGAAGACCAACTATCTCCAAGCTTTCGGCTTTTCGTGTTTCTTCTTCGATTTTTAGCAAATTATAATAATGCAACATTTCAAATAGTAATTGACGATTCATCATCAGAACATTCAAGCAAACGCAACAATAAATCACAAATTATCATTACGTCATACATTGGACGCATCACTCGTAGTTTCCATGTAAGTACTCCAATAGCGCAAGATGATTCGATATGGTTAGTACCAAAAGCACATCGAATACTAGCAATGTTAGCCATTTTTGTCACCTTTAAGGCCGAAGTTTGGTATTCAATTACCGGCATATTTTTCATTGTAATGTTAAGCTGGTGGTTGGTCCTGTCGTGTACCAGTGGACGATTCTCAATGAAGAACTTGGCGATTGCGATGACTCACGTGAGTTCGCTTACATTCCAAGGCTCCGTTGCACATCAGCCTACACGCATCGCATTGCGTTGTATACTCCTAACCTACTTGATCTATATAATGCACATTACTTGCGGATTTTCAGCGAAACTGGTGGACATTTTAACAACCCCCCAATACG